TAAAGCACTCAACCCCTACTTACAAATAAAGACCCATGTAAAGAGTTAATCATTTTGCACTTGTCATATTCATATATGCAAATGTATTCAATATCAAAATTCCATGCTTTATCGAGTCAAAACGTCATTAACATTCCAGTACTTTAATATGATGGTGGTAAATGTAATTAAACCTTCGCCAAATCAATTCTTATTTCATAGTTATACTTACTATAAGTCAATAAATAATATTTATGATATACATGTACAAGGTTAAAGGCAGCTACGTGACTTATTGCAGGAATAAAACCAATATTAATTCATTATATTATTACACTACATGTTAATATTTAGTATACCTTGGTTTATTTCTAACTTGTTCAATACTAAATTATTTCAATGGCATTTAGTAACTGAACTGGCAGACACAGTGGTCACAAAATGTGGTCTGTATCATAGTGAATTGTTTTTACTTTACCCCAATTAATCTTTTACATTAATAGTAAGGAGGACAGTATTCAGCACCACACACAAGCAATTACACACATACGGACAGGATACAAAATACAGACATCCCAAACAACAAACACACAAATACGTACAGTGCAGGAGGACCACACCATACACAAACAAATACACAAGACAAACCTACGAACAGGACACAAAATACAGACACCACAAACAACCAACACACGTATCCATACAGTGCAGGAGGACCACACCACACACACACACACAAATCAAAGACAAACCTATGGATGGGATATAAAATACAGACATTTCAACATTAATAAAGTGAATGGAACGTAAACAATGATTTATAGATTAATAGTTATTGCAGGAGTGTAGTAGGGAGGACTGATAACACATATAAAAAATTCCACAAGACAAGCTTGCAGATTTTGTTTCCTTAAAGGAGAAGCACGTAAAAGATCCCCTGGCACTTGGAATTCGATATAAGAGTAGGCGATAGTGCCGCTGTCCAGGCAAAATTTCCCTCATAGCACACTGTATGGCATATGCTCGTCTTCATTAGCCCAGTATAGGAGCAGAACAGTAGGACGTTAAACCCCATTTCATTTCGTTTCATTTCATTTCCTTTCTTAAAGGAGAATTATGGGAGATCAGATAAAGAGCTGACAGCTCTCGCTATAATAGTTAAAAAATAGAAACTAAAAGAGAATATGCTGAAAATTAGTAAAATCGGTACGATAAAAAACAAAGTCTTGATTATCCGTTTTGACATTGAATCATCCGTCATAAAATGTATTCAAATCCGGTAAACATCGCAGGATATAGAGATGGCATCGAGTTTATGGTCTGGATATGTTAATTAATGTCTAATTGATAGCTTAGTTAGACAACATTTCAGGCCTAAAGAAAGACCTGCAATGGGCAGATTTAATTTAGCTCCTGCATAATATATGTTTAATTAAATGTTATATATTGGCGTAGATTATCGAGAAAATGTTTATAATTTTTTCGAAAAATACCAATGGTGCATCAGAACTTTAAAAAGCAATCACCCAGAAACAATGTGAAAATTTCAATTTTGTTCCGTTTGGGTTCAATTAATTTCATAATAAAAAACACCATCAAAGTTAGACTATTTTCATAAACATCCTTCTTGGAGATTTCAAGTTCAATCCATTTGTTTCAATTAAATTTCACCATGAAAATAGAAAACCTCATCAAAGTAAGACTCAGTTCTCACATCCTGCTTGATAAATGTGTTTCTGTGTTCCTCAAGTCATTATGGACAGAATTTATATCTCTCTGTAATTTAGTTGATCAACACAGTTTGTTATTTATCTGAGCGATAAATGCCTTCCAGACTCACAGTTTATTAACATTTACACTTTGAAATGGAGTTGGTTCTTTTTACACACATCAAATATTTATTAAAACTTCGGTCATGGCTCCTAGTGTGAATCTGATCGTTATAACAAGATGATTCATTTGTGTACGTAAGTTACAGATATGAATGTAATGAGATGGGGTTTAACGTCCTACTGTTCCACTCCGACTGGGCTAATGAAGATGGTTATACGCCATACAGTGTGCTATGAGGGAAATTTTGTCTGGACAGCGACCCTACGGACTACTCTTATATCGAATTCCAACTGCCAAGGGATCTTTTATGTGCTTTTGTGTAATTAGGGAGATCATGATATCCTGTTAATTTATTAGTATGTCATCATCTAAAATAGGAATTAAAACTAAACAAAGTTCCATTATGTAAAACTAGGTCATTTTCGGACTAAAATATGGTTTAATTTTATTTTAATAATTTGCTTACTGTATGCCGTATGCCCATCTTCATCAGCCGGTTATACGGGACAAGGAGTAGGGTCGTCTGTCAAACCTCGTGGGTTTTCTCCAGGTCCTCCGGTTTACCCACAAAGACCCCTACGCGCAAGCAAATTATTAAAATAAAATTAAACCATATGTTAGTCCCGAAATGACCTAGTTTGTGTCGAGTGGACGTTAAACCTCCATTTCTCTCTCTTCATTAGCCCAGTCGGTGCAGTAAAGAAGGAAGATTAACCCCATTTCATTTCAATATCAAAGACAGATCTTAGTTTCATTTCCTTTTATTTGTAATTTAAATGGCCTTGAACACATGTAAGATAAAATACAATTTGAAAGATAAGAAATGAAATAGGATCTTAAATGAATGTGAAAGAAATTAGTGCTAAATACCCAAGATTAAATGATACTCAGGTTACAGTGTGATCTGTCACATTTATTTCTTGTATTCCCATATTAAGTTTTATGGATGTTGACTGAGGCATGGAATACAAAATTTCATCAGATGACAGAAATTAATAATTGATGGCGTTATAGGTCACTTGGTGGTCACATAAGGGAGATAACTATGCTGATGTAAACCCTGTGGTTGGTCAAAATTTTACCAATATGGGAATTGATCTAACATTAAACTAAATGTCCATATCAAATCTTTTCAATGGTACGATGAGAGAGAGAGTTTAAGTCTCGGGACTAACATATGGTTCAATTTTATTTCAATAATTCGCTTGCGTGCAGTGGTCTTTAGCAGTGGGTGGAAACTGGAGGACCCGGAGTAAACCAACAAGGTTGGACAGGTGACCCTACTCCTTGTCATGTACAACTAGGGAATCGATGACAGACACAGTGTGCACACGCAAACCATTCGGCCATCCAACCCCCCTGGGGTTAGGATTCTACTTATCAACATGATTGAGACAGATGTTCATGTCAGAAAATCCTCTGTTGGAAAATCGTTGATCAAATATCCTGCCACTGCCACTAATGATAATATTTATAACAAATATCTTGTCTAGTCATTCGGATAAGTTCGGAGCAAAACAGTAGGACTTTAAACCCCATTTCATTTCATTTCTAAGATCTAAAAGTGATTCCTAAGCACTTCAGAAAAACTGAACATTGTTCTAGAACATCTACCTGTATTTGGTAAATACACGAGTTTTCATGTTTCATTTTCCCAAATATGTTTTGGAAGATAATTCCAGATGTCAACTGACACAAACTATATCCTAGGACAGTTACGTCAACTGGTTATTCAGCTTGGATGTATCAATACAGAGTTGTAGCTGTTATATATGAAATGAAATGAAATGGGGTTTAACGTCCTACTGTTCTGCTCCTAAACTGGGCTAATGAAGACTGGCATACGCCATACAGTGTGCTATGAGGGAAATTTTGCCCGGGCAGCAGCACTACGGCCTACTCTTATATCGAATTCCAACTGCCAAGGGATATTTTACGTGCACGCCAAAGTGTACACGGGACCTCAGGTTTTCGTCCAATCCGAATGACTAGACAGCTGTCCTTGTCAGGCCCTCCATCCTGCATCAATGACAAGGGGGAAACCACGCTGGAAAATCTGGATGAACTTTCTCGGCCAATGCAGGGATCGAACACCCGACCTCCAGGCTAGCGAGCCAGCGTCTTACCCACTTAGGTAGCTGTTATATAATAAGACTGATGTGTTATGACATATTGAGGTTGGGTGGTCAGATGGTTTAAACACTAGAGCTGGCACGATGAATCGTTGAATCCATATATCACGATTCACTCTCACGATTCGCATATTGAATCACAAGAGGTCAAATCAATGTATCACGATTGTTTTTCATGGGGTTTTTTTGTAACCTATCCCTCTTAATTGTTTTCATCCTTATTTTGATCTACATGTACATTAGTATCGTCATACAAAACAGTTTTATTTCTTCGACATCAGTAGGACTAAAAATATCATTTATCCATTTGTTTTCTTGGTAAATATTGACCTGGTTATGAATTGTGATATCGTAGCATCTGAAACCTAATATGTATCGCATCGTCACTGCAGTGGCAATACCCAGCACAATCAAACACATGGACATAGGGGATGCTCAATTGTCGGGACATAATATCACAAATTGATAGAATTGCAATCAAGTGATGCAGAATTGCATCCTGTCACAGTTCTGCTTGTTCCAATTAAATTTCGGAATGTTCAATCAAGTATATCCAATATGTCCATTGTTATATGAGTGTTTTTATGTCTGTGTAATAATTTGTGGCTGACAAAGTGCTTGTAGATATTCAATCTGGTTAAAACACAGACCCTATTTTGTTTTGTTTAGTTCAAAAGTTTGTTTTACTTGTCTTTACTACACTGGGATCTGGCAGAGTTGTTATATAACCCACTTTCTGGATGATGTGAGGGATTAGCCAATAAAACGGTCTGTTACGGCAAGCTTTTGCCATTAGGTGCACAGAACTGTGGGTAACCCACTAAAAACATCAACGCTGGTTGTTTAATCAAATGTCTGACATCATAGGGTCAAAAGCCAATCATATGACCTCTGATGCGACCTTCCGCTATAACCAGTCAGATCTTCATGTAGTGCAGGGCATCGAAAGTATTAAAAAACGAAACGAAATATAGATCTGTATTTTAATCCGATTGGTAGATATAGGTCATGTGATTGACATGTGACAGATTTGATTGTATATAAATAAACTCCTACCTTTCTTCAAGTAGTCTTTTAATCTAATGTAAGAACTGGCAACCTGGATCATTGAACATTTATCTAACTTCTCTAGTTTCTCTGGTACAACTGGTATTTCGCTAATCAAATTTGACATTTCTACGGCCTCTTTATCCCGACGAAGTTTGGCTGCTATTTTTGCCTTCTCTCCTCTAACAAATATAAACAAAACATTTAAACATACATTATGCAAGAGATAAATCTGCCTATTGCAGGTCTTTCTTTAGGTCTGAAATGTTTTCTAAATTATTAAAGATACATTATGGGAGATTCGATAACGAGTTGGCAGTTCTCACTATAATAGTTAAAAACTAGATAATGTAAAGGCAATTTGCTGAAAATTTCAGTCAAATTGATCCACTATGAACCGAGAACTAAACGATTGAAATTTCCGCACAGCCTCGATCATCATTACTAAGGTCAGTACGATAAACAGCATTTATCCATTTAATCGTTAAATCGTGAAGGAAAGTTATGCAGTAAATCGGCTCATAATCCACTAAAGATCGCAGGCTAGCGATGCCATCTAGAGTTGATTATGGTTTGGATTAATGTTAATTGGTTAATTAATGTTTAATTAATAATTTAGATAACATTTCAAGCCTAAAGAAAGACCTGCAATAATCAGATTTAGCTCTTGCATAATGTATGTTTAATTAGACATTAATTAACTTATCCAGACCATAATCAACACTCGATGGCATCAGATTTCTCCGATATTAAATAGATTAGAACAGTTCAGCTAAAAATGCTAAAAATGGAGGAGCGAGACTTAGCTTCGAACAACCAGTACGGTTGTTGAAATTATTGCACACATCTTGTCAAACCTTCAAAGGCTAATATCTTCGCTCGCAAAAGAGTAATTTGAATGAACTTTTCAAATTATTCATTTTACATTATCTGTTTTCGAACTATTATAGCAAGAATGCCTAGTTCTTTATCTAAATATTATATAATGTATCTTCAATAATATGATTCACTTGTTGTCTGGTTTTTTTTTAAAAGTAAAAGCGAGCCCCAGTGGCTCAGTGAGTAAAACGTTGGCTTGCTAACCCGAAGGTCCTGTGTTCGAACATGGTTTCATTCGAGAAGTTTCTTAGGATTTTCCGGCATGGTTTCCCGTGGTCAGTGGTGTAGGACAGAGGGCCTGGCAAGGGACAACATATAGTCAATCGGATGGGACGAAAAACCAAGGACCCGTGCACACTTTGGAGTGCACATAAAAGAACCCTTGGCAGTTGGAATTCAATATAAGTGTAGACTGTAGTTTAAATGATCAATTTGTAAACCTTACCTTGTTAATCTGTGTGGAGTAATACCATCAGACATTTTGACTTCTTCAATTCATCAACTAAATGATAACCGAATCAGGTGTTTGGTAATTAGTGTTTGTTATCTCCTGTAATTAGTGTATGCAGTCTCCTGTAATTAGTGTATGTGTAATCTCCTGTAAGTAGTGTATGCAGTCTCCTGTAATTAGTGTATGTGTAATCTCCTGTAATTAGTGTAATTAGTGTTGTATGTAATCTCCTGTAATTAGTGTGTGTATGTAATATCCTGTAATTATTGTGTGTGTGTGTGTAATCTGTAAATAGTGTACATGTATGTTATCTGTAATTAGTGTTGCATGTAATCTGTAATTAGAGTGTGTTTAATCTCCTGTAATTAGTGTTGTATAAAGTCTGTAATTAGTGTGTGTGTAATCTGTAATTAGTGTATGTGTGCAATCTGTAATTAGTGTACATGTATGTAATCTGTAATTAGCGGCTGTGTAATCTCCTGAAAGTAATAATGTGTGTGTAACCTTCTGTAATCAATGTGTGTATGTAGTCTATAATTAGTATGTAATCTGTCTTAATTAGTGTATGTAATTGCCTTTACTCAGCGTACGTAATCTGAAAAGAAACAAAATAATTTCGCATTAATTTAAGATGATTTACTCAAAGTATGTAATGTCCTGAAAAGAAACAAAATAATTTTGTCTAATTTTACAATCATTTACTCCACGTTTGTTTTGTGTAGATCACCTTACATATTGGTTGCCTAGCAATGTCACATAATCAACAATTACAACATGCATAACATATAGGATCTTCAAATATGTGTTTTGGGGGCGATTAAAGGCCAGTCGACACAAACTAGGTCATTTCGGGAAATTGGGATCTGTAGCAATGCGAGGAAACTGGAGGACCTGGAGAAATCCCAGACTACCCTATACGCCTTTATCTAGTACAAGACAAGGTGGGAATTGAAACCACACCACTTGAGTCAATGACAGACCTTATGTTCTAAAGCACATGTGTTAGATCATTTGATCACTAATCAGGCCCCGAGTTCACAAACTATTCTCAGAGAGAGAGAGAGAAATGGGGTTTAAGGTCCACTCGACACAAACTAGGTCATTTCGGGACTAACATATGGTTCAATTTTATTTAAATAATTCGCTTGCGGGTAGGGGTCTTTAGCGGTGGGAGAAAACCGGAGGACCCGGAGAAAACCCACGAGGTTGGACAGGCGACCCTACTCCTTGTCACGTACAACCGGGGATTCGAAACCATGCCAGTTGACTCAATGACAGGCTTAATGATACAGAGCGCATGTGCTAACCACTAAGCCATCCAACCCCCCAGTATTCTCAGACTTAAGTTAAGAATTTACTCAAAATTGTTCGCCTTGTTATAACTAAAATATAGCCCTTTATAAAACTTTTGTTGTTTTAATGTATACAATACATTAATAAGAAATTATGTGCAATTTTTTGTGTTTCTGGATCGAAGATATTTCTCATAAACAGTGATTGAAAGTTGGAGTAAATTCTTATCTTAAGTCAAAGAATGCTTTGTGAACTCGGGGCCATGTTTTTTCTCTAAGGCCTACACCTCTGACAGGAAGAATTCGGGCTGAAAAATGCATTTGAACCCCGAGATATAAACCTTCTCAAACAGATGACAAGAAAAACGATAGCTTGCCAGACAACGAAACATACGACCACACCCACAGCAGCAAAATCGTTCAGGCAGTCAACGAGAGTTGTTGCAATTTTTTTCTTTGGTCGGTAATGAAACATTTATAATACACTAAAACCGGATTAAGAGTAACAACTCATTAAATAATTATCAGAAAGTCATTAGAATTTGTTTGGCTTCTAGTTCTGCCCCATCCTAACGTCAAGTATACAAAACATTTAATAATCATGGATTTAGCTGTTTAAGTTATCAAAAATCATTGAATCTCAAGACCTTCAACTCTGTAACAATATAAAGTCAATGGCCTGTAGAGCATAGCAAGATTTTTCGAAGTAATCAGGGGCCATAACTCTGGCAGCAATTATCGGAATTATATATATAGGCGTCTTTGTCTCATGACTGTAAACATGGTGTATAAATTTAAAATCAATCAGTTGATAACTTTGTTCTCTAAAGCATCCATAAGATATTTCAAAGTGATCAAAGGCCATAACTCAGGCAGTAATTATCGGAAATCGTTGAAGATCAATAGACTTCTTCATCTCATGAACTGAAACACTGTGTATAAATTTAAAGTGATTCGAATATTAACTTTAGCCTTTAGAGCATCCACAAGATATTTAAAAGTGATCAAGGGCCATAACTCTGGCAGTAATTAAAAGTGATCAAGGGCCATAACTCTGGCAGTAATTATCGGAAACCATTGAAAATCAATAGGCTTTTGTGTCTCATGACCTTAAACCCTGTGTAGAAATTTAAAGTCAATGAGACTTTAACTTTAGCCTCTAACTTCAGCTTGTGGATGCCGGACCGACGGACAGGGGCGACAACATGACAAAATGTCAATGTGGGAGTATAAAAAATGAAGTGGGGTTTAACATCCCACCTTTCTGCACTAAGGTGACCCTACTCCTTGTCACGGCCCTACTCCTTGTCATGTGCAACTTGGGAATCGAAACCCCGCCAGTTGACTCATTAACATCCCACCTTTCTGCACTAATAATATTCAATTGGTAAAGAGAGGGGGGGGAGGGAGGGAGAGAGAGAGAGAGATCCTCTCACACAAACTAGGTCATTAGGTCATTTCGGGACTAACACATGGTTCAATTTTATTTCAATAATTTGCTTGCTAGTAGGGGTCTTTAGCAGTAGGAGGAAACTGGAGGACCCGGAACCCGTGAGGGTGGACACGCGACCCTACTCCTTGTCACGGCCCTACTCCTTATCATGTGCAACTTGGGAATCGAAACCCTGCCAGCTGACTCAATGACAGACAACTTATATGATACGTGCTAACCATTCGGCCATCCCACCTCTTCAATTGTTAAATGCTATTCAAAGATTATATTCGTACAGTACTAGCAGGGCGGGATTAAGATTGAATGGGCCGGGCCGGTTGAAAATGTCTCTGGGGCCTAATTCAATTGCATCATCTGTCAAAAGCTAGGAACCTATATAGTATTCTGGTTATTGTCGGCGATACAAATGCAATTTATATGTCAGAATGCTAGATCTGATTTGGCAAAAACAAACAAAATATAAAATAATAGGCTAAACATAGCCCAAAAAAATTAGTACCGAACTAATTTCAATTTGCCCCACCCCCTTCTTAATCCGGGGCCTCGATCGAACTATGCTAAATTATTTTCTCAAGAACTGTCAAGAGTAACGGAAGTGCATGCGCAATAAAACAGGGGAACTTACCTGACCGGATGACAACCAAGATGTTCTCCAATAATTAATACAATGTCACTAAGTAAACAAACTTTCAAAGTAATAAAATACTAAAAACACAAAAAATAATCCAGTGGGAAATTTATAAAATTTCATACATTTCTGGAACAAGACAATATTCATCGTGGTAAACGTCGTATATATACTATAGTTGAAGTCGAGCACGTGTTGAATTCAACCAACTGTGTTGAAGTGTAAACAACCCCTTTGACCTGCCGACTAGCACGTAATCCCACGTAACATAAAAAGTCCATCTAAGCGGCCTGTTTCCACCTGCAGATCAATATAAACGTCAAATTGCATCATTACTTTGACTTTCCAATACTGGTCTAATGCAATACAAATTAATAGGCCTAATGTGTTGGGTTTTTTTAATCTAAAAACTGTCATGTCATCAGTATTGCGCAAACAGTCAACCCATTCGGTTGTTCGAGAAGAACCGTAAACATGTTTACCAATCATCCGTTATATGACGTCATCATGACCCAGTCGGGAAATCTCGACCTTTCTAATTTTATCCAGTGTCATGACATCGTGATCTATTTAATGACGTAGTCTCGAACCCGTCTCAACTTCATTCATTGATTTGTGCTATAAAAAACAGAGTGGCCAGGTTGAACAAGACTACGGTACTACTCTTAATCAGAGTTACTTCCCATTGAAAGATGTCAGCCCCCGTTGGAAGTTTATTGCTGTTGAAAACGCAATTTATCCCACGAAATAATCGGAAATAACTAATTGTACCGGTTGAATTTACACAAATCTGTGTAATTTAACAATAACTGTGCACAGTCTTTCTAACTGCCAGGCGAATTTATGGGTAAGTATTATGGCATAAGAAAAAATATCGAAAAATCCTTATATTCGTGGGATGTGACCATTAGTCATTAGAAGTAGAACTCTAGTAGAAGTAGATTAGAGAGATGCGGTACGCACAATTTGGCTGATTCTCTTAAAAAGGTATCACTCATAACAGAAACATAAAAAGAGACACATCATGATAAATACAACAGATTGACAGTATAAGTTAATAATCCTGGGGTTCAGTGTGGAATATTTAGTTTTCGAAACATGGTGGCTCTGTGGCAATGCCATGCCATATGCCTACGTTAAACCCCATTTCTCTTTCTCTCTCCCTCTTTAATTTACGTGGAATATTATTTTGTATTTTTTTTTTCAGATATTCAATGAATTGCTATATATTCAGACGAGGAATCCAACAAATCATAACAAAAACAAAACAGTTTAAAAATATACATCGTACATTCGCCTATCGAAGAGAAGGGAAATTGGTGACCATGAAGTTAGATACACCACTATTCCAGAATCTTTTCACGCCAGAAATGAAACAATTAGTTGAAATATTTAATCGGCACGGACATGAGTTACGAATAGCAGGTGGCGCTGTACGTGATTTAATCATGGATAAACTTCCTGTAGATATTGATTTCGCTACCACGGCGACACCCGATCAGATGAAAGAACTGTTTGAAAATGAGAAGATTCGATTAATTAACAATAAGGGTGAAAAACATGGCACCATTACAGCCAGGATTAATGATAAGGTAAGTTAGGGTTTTGTTTGTATGGTAGAAGGTGGATGCGGTGGCTCAGTGAGTAGGACGCTGGCTCGCTAACAACCCTGGTGTTGGTTTAGAAAGTTCATTGGTTTAGTTGAAATTCAATATAAGATTAGGCTGTAGTGTCGCCTTCAGGGCAAAATTTCCCATACATGTAGCACACTGTATGGTGTATGGCATCTGTCCTTTTTCATTAGTCCAGTCGGAGCAGAACAGTAAGACGTTAAACCCCATTTCATTTTGTTTCAAGGGACATCTAGATTGTTCTGTCCTGTACGTGGTGTCCCTAGTTTGAATATACTTCCTATTGACGTACGACGAAACCTGGGATATTTACATACCACCTACAAAATCAATTCATTACCTGTATTCCTGGTGCGTAGGTGTCTTTAGCTGTGTCTTGAATTTAAATATACGACCTACTGACTTGGTCTTTGAAAATTAAGTGTGGCTCATTCGGTAGAAGTAGAGCAGGGATGTGGTGTGCTGTGCGATTGTTTGTATATGTGGGGACGTCAAGGTTGTGTATAGTATATGTGGGGACGTCAAGCTTGCTCTGTCCTGTTTAATAATACTTCCAACTGCCTTAGTCATGGATGGATATAATGCCTGAGCTCACAGGTTCAATGCCTGTTACAATTGTTTTAATTTAGAATTAATGACAATCTACAGTCAGTACTTTATGATAAAACTAACAAATCAACATCTGGCCGGGTATTGTGAATCTATGAATCTCACTACAACAAATCTCAGTGTAGGATGATTTATCCAATATTCATCTGATACAAACAATCACAACCCTATTATTATGAAAAAATAATATAATACTTCAATTATATAAAAGAATGGTAGGTTATTTGTGAAAAACTTGCAAAGAATGTATGGCAAACATGATGATCAATGTCTTGCTATTCTAGTTATCTCCCTTGATCACCCTATACTAACAAATATTAAAGATACGTTATGGGAGATTAGATAAAGAGCTGGTAGTTCTCGCTATAATAGTTAAAAACTAGATAATGTAAAAGGGAATATGCTGAAAATTTCAGTCAAATTGATCCACTCTGAACCGAAAATTTGGAATTTAAGGACCTAGCTTCGATCTTTATTACTAATCATGAATAATGTATGTTTAACCTATTTCTATAAGGTATGTTGTTTGTTTTGTAGGAGAATTTTGAAGTAACAACTTTACGTATTGATGTTGTAACAGACGGACGACATGCTGAGGTTCAATTTACACGTGATTGGCAGCTGGATGCCAACAGACGAGATCTGACCATCAACGCCATGTTTTTAGGTAAGCAGAGACCTTATTAGTAATAAATGAATGAATGAAATGTGGTTTAGTGTCCTACTTTTATGCACCAACCAGGCTATTGAAGTCAGGCATACAGTGTGCTATGAGGGAATTTTATGCACTGACCGGACTATTGAAGTCAGGCATACAGTGTACTATGACTATGAGGGAATTTTTTCCTATGGTTCTTTTACCTGCATGCCAACATATACATGTGACCTTGGTTTTATGTCCCATCTTAACAACGAGGCACTCCACCACTGAGAGAAGGGGGAACAACTCCAGATTACCCTGTGGAACTCATTATTATTAAACTTATTAAAGATACATTATGGGAGATTAGATAAAGAGCTGCTGGCAGTTATTACTATAATATGCATAATAAACAGCAAAAGAAATGTCAGTACGATTTCAAAATCAGAGAGGCACTTTAATCAAATCATTCTAGGAAATGACTTACTAAATGGATCAAAGCAATTTTTTGTGAACAGTATGTTGACACATTAGTGATTAATTCATCACAATTCCAAGACATTACGAGAAGGTTTAGAGTCTGTACACAGTCTATACATTAGTACCTGGTGTGTCCACCGCGAGTGTCAATAACAGCAGCGCAGCATCTGTACATGGAGTTGACCAGGCGATTGATGAACGCCATTGGCACCTGGAACCACACTCTCAGGAAAGCCTGGCGCAATCCATCGACTGTGTTTGGTCTCGGTACACCGTTATTAAGCCTCCTCTGAATTCCATTTTGCAGTCTGCGGTAGGCTGATTGCTAGTTAAGAGTCTTTTTATTGTTGGATGACGTCATATAACATATCCACCGTCAGTTTAATGTATGATGAAATAGACAGGCCTGTTTTTGATCCGACTATCTAGCATTGGTATTTTCTAAATGTTTATTTCAGGATTTGATGGAACTTTGTATGATTATTTTCATGGAAGAGAAGATTTAGATCAACGTAAAGTCAAATTTGTCGGAAATCCTGAAGCAAGAATACAAGAAGATTATTTACGTATATTGAGATATTTCAGGTAAATTAAAACATGATCTTCACTTCTCTAATTTTGTTTTAGTCGTCACGTGTGTGGTTTGGAGATGGATCCTATAAGCAGCCATTCTGAGGCCTTTGTCGTCCATGCAAGGGAAGCAGGGGTTGGTTGGTCAAATAGTATAATGAGTTAGTACTTTGTATCATAAGGTCTGTCATCGAGTCAAGTCATGTGGTATCGATCCATGAGCGGTGGAGTTGTCTGTCTTACCACACAGATTTTTTCCAGCTTCTTAGGTTTCCTCCTCTGCTAAAGATCTCTACGCACAAGCGAATTATTAATCGTGATGACCAAAAAAGACTTACATGTAGAGTTGGGAGTTACGGTGGCTAAACGGGTAAGACATGGGTTTGTATGTAAAAGATCCCTTGGTAGTTGGAATTCGAGTATAAGAGTAGGCCCGGGCAAAATTTCTCTCATAGCACACTGTATGGCGTATGCCCATCTTCATTAGCCCAGTCAGAGCAGAACAGTAGGAAGTTAAACTCCATTTCATTTCATTTTCATTTATTTTAACTATGGCAACTTATCTCTTTCATCGTACCAATCAGTACCTGTAAAAAATAAAATGTGTTTTTTTCATGATATTTTAGCAATTACATGACTTATAATTTGAGGGAATCAGATAATAAATGTAGACAAAAAATGTAATAATAAACATTTGTTAAACCCTAATCTATATATATATTTGTGACTGTCGTTTGTCTGTCTGTCTTTCTGTCTGTCTGTCTGTCTGTTCGGGGTTTGCGGCTACACTAGGTCTGCCCCGAGTCTGAAATTTGGGGTATAGGAGTAGCTCGGACCGAGGAGTAACATAGGCCAGGTGGCGTTAGTCTACCACTTCCGGTTTCGGAGTTATGACCCCCGAGCGAAGCCGGTCTGTTCGGGGTTGGCGGCAACACTAGGTCTGCCCCGAGTCTGAAATTTTGGGTATAGGGGTAGCTCGGACCAGGGAGTAACATAGACCAGGTGGCGTTAGTCTACCACTTCCGGTTTCGGAGTTATGACCCCCGAGCGAAGCCGGGTATCCTGCTAGTCACAAGATAAATATAATAAAATAGACTTTTTCCTTTTTCTTGACAGATTTTATGGAAGAATTGCCTCTAATCCAAACAGTCACGATGCTGAAACATTGGAAGCTATTAGAAATAACTCCCAGGGTCTAGCAGGTAATATTCTTACAACTTAAATTGATCGTGGGTTGTCATTGACAAAGTTATGGAGAATTTTGACCTGGCAGCAACATTTGTACCTACTCTTCAACAATTTGCTATAAGGGAAACATTGCTAGGACAGCAGCGCTACAGCATATTCTTATATGGAATTCCAACAGCCAAGGGATCTTTTACGTGCACACCAATGTGTTTTGTCCAGTCTAAATCGGTAGTCATATTCTTCTTGTCATCTACACAGCCAATCCAGAATGCAGGGCCAGATTAAGGTTGAATTGGACTGGGCCCCTGGCTGAAAATGTCACCTGGACCCTTGTATTAACAGTGTAAAGGGGGTATACTCTGGTCATTGTCTGTCACAAATATAATTTGTATGTCAGTATAGTAGATAGATAGATTTATTTAACACAAACATATACAACATGATAAATTCGAATCACATTGGGGGCCCATGGTTGCACCCCTCCCCCTACCCCGCCTCTTTAATCCCACCCTGCCAGAATGTTCCTGATTATTAGTTAATGCAGTTTATATTCTTTTGATGTTTTATATGGACCAGTATATCATGTTATTATATTGACCAGGTATATCATATGGACCAGGTATACCAGGTATCATACAGGTGTTTTATATCATTCAGGTATATCAGGAGAAAGAATCTGGATGGAATTACGTAAAATAATTACTGGTAATTACGCTGATTATATAATGGAGACCATGATGTCACTAGGACTGACTCCTTATATGGGTAGGTTTCTAAACCGTTAATTTGGGGTTATAAATGAAAGTATTGATGTTGGGCAAGAAAATTCCTCCAGTCCCGTTCCGTTGGGTAATGTATACTATTAGAAAATCTCCTGAGAGTTGGACATTAAACTAAGAGTTGTCCAGTATGCCACTGCCATGGTAACATTTCCCTTATAGCACACAGCATTACATATGACCGTTTTTTTTGTCTGCGATATCACCTTGGTGGAAGCGGTAGTTAAATAAAGCTATTTCACACACATATGACTGACTTTGTTAGTCTGTTTGGTAAAGAAATTCAGGACATTAAAAACAAAGTTGGTAAAAAAAATAGTTCTCTATTTGATTTGATTCCTGATGAATTTTCAAATTATATTGTATGCAAAATTTGAGGCAAAGCTGTCAGACCACCCCTGAAATATCAAAATAGAGTCAAACAAATTCTCTTGGTTGATAATAAAAATCTTCTGTTTTTCATTTTAACAGGTCTACCAGATAAATGTAATATAAAAGAATTTCAAAGAATTTGTCAGTTAACAGAAGGGTTGTCTCCCCTACCTATGACTAGATTATCTGCTTTATTAGAAGATGAAAATCAGGCAAGTCTATTCGATATTCCTTCTTTTATTTCAGACAAGTCTTTCATTTCTTAATCACAACAAAACATGAAATAGAAGTTCTGATTTAAATATACAAAGATGCTGCGATGGAGTGAGAAATGGGGTTTAATGCCCACTCGCCACAAACAAGGTCATTTTGGGACTAACATATGATTCAATTTTATTTTAGTAATTCTCTTAGTCCTCCAGTTTCCTCCCAGTGCTAAATTACATGTACATAAAAAAAAACGTGGCAGTTGGAGAGTTAGAACTGTTATGCCTGATTGTCCCCAGCTTCAATAGAAGGCTTGATCTCGCTTTAACTATGTACATCTTATCAAGACCTTTCACGTAATACCCTGCAAATTACATCACCAATTTCAATTGGTGCTTTCCAGCTAAAATGTCTACCTGTGATAAACGAGCTGCAAAGTTTAAGGTTCGTTCGATGTCAAGGTTTCCGTGGAGATCACCATGTTGGATTTGAGTATGTTTATGTTACAACCACTGAACAAAGCTATTGTTCATTTGTCTGCATTAAAGGGAGATAACGTACCTATAAGTTTGGGAATGTCAGACTAATGTAGCAACGGCTAGATGTTGTAAAACACGCAGGCGTTGCTTCAGGAACATGGATTGTCTCAAACATCACCAGGAGATCTCAATCCTCTCACAGGGTCAAAGTTCATACACAACATTCCTTTACATATTGGGGGGTTGGATGGCCGAATGGTTAGCATGTGCGCGCTTTATCATAAGGCCTGTCATTGAGTCAACTGGCGTGGTTTCGAATCCCTGGTTGTACGTGACAAGGAGTGGGGTCACCTATCCAACCTTGTGGGTTTTCTGCGGGCCCTCGGTCTCCTCCCACTGTTAAAGACACCTACGCGCAAGCGAATTATTGAAATAAAATTAAACCATATGTTAGTCCCAAAATGATCTAGTTTGTGTCCGGTGGAGTTAAACCCCATTTCTCTCTTTCTCTCCTTTACATTTTTTGACATCAAATAGAGATTTTTCAGAACACATTTTTTTACGGAAATAAAATTTTCATCTTTTATAGGTTTATGAAGTTGATCAACGGCTGAAACTATCGAAGGAAGAAATACGATTAGCGTTATTTATCATCGATAAACGTAGCCAAGATTTTGAGGAAAGTGTCCCGTTAAAATATTTCAGTGATTTGATAGTCGACGCGAAAGAACCGAAAATGAAAGAAAGAATTTTAGAACTGATTAAATACAAAGGAGATACAGCGTTACTACGAACTATATCGGAGTGGTCTCCCCCTAAGTTTCCAATCACGGGTCACGATCTGACCCAGAAAAATGTGCCTAAGGGGCCGATATTCGCCAAGACATTAAACGAGTTGAGAAACATATGGAAGGAAAGAGGTTATCAAATAACAAAAGAGGAATTATTATTAGAACTGGATCGTATTGTTACACAACTTGGTTTATGATAAAAAAAATGGACGTTATTATTATTATGTGTTATTATTATAATGCGACTGAATGAAATCTATCAGAGAGATATGGTTAGTGCTTAATGGTAAGGCCAGCTCAATTTTTCATCATAGGTCAGTGCTTATGTGAAGACTTAACCTCTCCCCCAAACTCTTAAACCTAACCTACAATCTCGCCAACAATCACATGCCCTAACCTTATTTACATCTCAACGACCATAACAAAAATTGAGCTGGCCTTAACAAATAGATTTAGCCAAGAGATATTAAAATGATGTCCATCATGGTTTAATTTTCAGAGCATATCTCAGGATATACAACGTTTTGTATACACTGTAACCTGGGTATTATTTAATCTTGTGTATCTAGCACTAATTTCTTTCACATTCGTTCAATATCAAATCTTTGTTTAAAAATCATTTAAAATCACCCAAAATCATCTAATCAATTTACAAGCATTTAATTTCTCGATCACTGTTAAAAAAAAACACAACCCAATTGATTATTGATGTATAATGATTAATTTTTGAACAGTGGTCAGAAAATTAAAGACTTATAAATTGGACACTCATTATCAAAATTAATCAGTCAGCTTTAAAATGGACACAATTAAATGAGATGATTTAGGTTAATTTTGAAGGATTTGATATTGAATGAATGTGAAATAAATCAAGGCTAAATACACAAGATTAAATGATACCCTGGTTACAGTGATACACATCAGACTACTATTTTTAGTAGTTGTGTTTAGCTACGTTTTTGTACAAGTGCGTGGATGTCATCTTGTTTTGTTTAATATATCAAGATGACTCGATAGAACAGTGATCACATTGTTAAAGAACTGGACATATTTTAACTTTGAATTATTTTATTTACTCTGAGAGTGATTGAATATATTGTAAACGAAGTGGATTTATGATAAAGAGTTGACAACTCGAGTCAGCTCGACGAGACATAGAAATTGTTAATTATTTAATGAGGTTGCTAGATTTCAGTGGTCTGAATCCACAATACATGAAAATTTAAGATGACAAGAGTTATCTTAATCAAAAAAATACCTTCTTGCATCAGTACAGCTGACATATGACGATCTTCTCCCTGCAGATTACCGGAAATGAAAATGGGGTTTAACGTCCTACTGTTCTGCTCCGAACTGGGCTAATGAAGATGGCTACACGCCATACAGTGTGCTATGAGGGAAATTTTGCCCGGACAGCGGCACTACGGCCTACTCTAATATCGAATTCCAACTGTCAAGGGATCTTTTACATGCACGCCAATGTGTACACAGGACCATAGTTTTTCGTCCCATCCAAACGACTAGACTGCTGTCCTTGTCAGGGCCTCTGTGCAGATTACCTGTCAACCCATACATTAATTTGATTTAAAATACAGATGTGACGTCATCCTTTGATATTGGCGTACCATTATTTCAAATAATCGTACAGGCAATGTGCCAAGCGTAACTTGTTAAAATATTGAACCCATGTGCAAGTGTCTGTATTTTAAGTTGTTTAATGGTCTCACGGTCCTCTTGTTGTTACAATATATTACGTAATGTCTCGCTCTCAACCATTAAACAATACTTAATGATGTGCCGATATGCGTAATATTTGTTTTTTCGACATCAGATAGCTTCTTGTCTTTGTCGATTCTGGCCTAATCATACGACTTTACTCCCATATTTTTTATGAATAGAGTTGGAAATACAACCATCTGTTGGGAACTTATTTGTTTGTTGTATTATTAATTAAAAAAGTATGATCTATAATTATGTGAGGGTTGAGTCTAGTATTATGGCTGAATATAGTCACAAGCACAGCAACTAAAATAACTCAAACAGATATCGGCAAATCAAGAATCCCCAAAATGAATGAGTAACCATCAATATCGATTCTGATGGACCACTTATTGGCTAAATACCGATGGTGAAACCAATAATCGAAACATCACTAATTTGATTAAAAAATGTGGGGGTTGGATGGCCAAATGTTTAGCACGTGCGCACTGTATCATGAGGTCTGTCATTGAGTCAACTGACGTGGTTTTGATTCCCCAGTTTTATTTGACAAGCAGTAGGATCGTCTGTCCAACCTCGTGGGTTTTCTCTGGGTTCCTCCCACTGCTAAAAGACCCCTACACGCAAGAGAATTTTTGAATTGAATTCTCTCAAACCCCAAAATATTGACAATCCAGTGAAATGGGGAATTATGAGCCGACTCCATGAGAAAATATCTCAATCAACAATGGCAGCCGAAAATATCTCAATCAACAATGGCAGCCGAAAATATCTCAATCAACAATGGCAGCCGAAACATATTTGTTGTGTTTAATCACGCCAAGATTCTACTTGCATCACCTCTACAGAACTGTGACAGGACTGAATTCCACGTCACTCGATGGCTAAATCTATTGTTAAGGCCAGCTCAATTTCCATTAAGGTCGTTGAGATGTAATTGTAAACAAGGTTAGGGTATGTGATTGTTGGCGAGATTGTAGGTTAGGGTTAGGGTAAGCATTGGGGCTAGGTCCAGGGTTAGGGTTAGGGTTGGGATTAGAACTAGTCCTGTTTACATCTCGTGAACTTTGACCAAAAATGAAGTTGGCCTTATCAATTAGATCCAACCGTCACTCTTGCTATTAAGTCATCTCAGGACATTCTAGACCGACGATCACCAAGTTATCAAGTGAAATGAGGTTTTATCATCTTGCTCTTCTGAATCAACCCCAGGAGTTAAAAAAACAATTCTCAGACTTAAGTTAGAATTTACTCAAAATTGTTTGCCTTATTTTAACTAAAATATAGTGGTTTATAAAACTTTTGTTGATTTAATATATCAAATACATCAACAAGAAACTATGTGCAAAGTTTTGTGTTTCTGGATCAAAGACACTTCTCATAAAAGATGATTGAAAGTTGAGTAAATTAACTGAAGTCTAAGAATGCTTTGTGAACTTAGGACCCTGGCTGATAAAAACTGGCATATGTTATGTGCAGTGTGCCACAGCGTTACAAAATTTGGGAGAGAGAGAGAGATTAACATCTACTGGACAAAAACTAGGTCATTTCGGGACTAACCTATGAAACACATCTATTTCATAAATTCGCTTGAATGTAAGGGTCATTAGCAGTGGGAGGAAACCGGAAAAAACCCACAAGATTGGACAAGTGACCCTACTCCTCGTCACATACAAGTGTGGGATCGAACCACACTAGGGTCATTGACAGACCTAAAGCACGTGTCTTAGACCCCCCCCCCCCCCTCGCTCCCTCATTTCCTAAAGATATCTTGGAATGGCTTATGACTTGTGATGAGCACATACTTAATCTGGAGGGGCGGAGTCCATTTTAACTTCATTCAGTGGTGGATTATAAACAAGATACATCATTTTAATTATATTTATTTTATTTTTTATAGATCTGAGTTTATAATAATAATAATAATAATAATATCGTATATAAAATAGATATATATATAACACATATTAAAAAAACCATGGTATATACAAGTACAGACAGGTGTTCAAATATAGAAAACGTTTATTAAAACTATTTAATACATGGACTATTTACATTATTTTACAACCTTTAAATGTGTATCACATTCTACACCTTCTAAACTGTTTAAACCACATCTGATAGAGAAAACAACTTAATGGAGCAGGAAACGAGCATTATGTTACCACTGCCATATTGGACCTGTGATCGAAAAATGTTTAGATGACATCTATCTTTTAAACTGTTTATATAAGCTAAGTCTTTTAAACTATTCAAATGACGTCTATCTGTTTAAACTGTTCAAGTGACGTCTATCTTTTCAAACTGTTAAATTGACGTCTATCTTTTAAACTGTTTAATTGACGTCTATCTTTTAAACTGTTTAATTGACGTCTATCTTTTAAACTGTTTAATTGACGTCTATCTTTTAAACTGTTTTATTGACGTCTATCTTTTAAACTGTTTAATTGATGTCTATCTTTTAAACTGTTTAATTGATGTCTATCTTTTAAACTGTTTAATTGATGTCTATCTTTTAAACTGTTTAATAGATGTCTATCTTTTAAACTGTTTAATAGATGTCTATCTTTTAAACTGTTTTATTGACGTCTATCTTTTAAACTGTTTAAAGCGGTATCCTGGTAACCAAACAATGATTGCTCCCCTGTCAGAAAGGACTTGAATATACAAGTCTCTGGCGCTGAAATTAAATGAGTAAGCACCCCATCCCCCAAATTTTAACATCATACATCTTACACCCTTCTTTCTTGTTGGAGAGTATAGAAAGAGGGTGGCCTAATGAACCAGATACAGTTAGAGAAAGAAATGGGGTTTAACCTCCACTTGACATAAACTAGGTCATTTCGAGACTAACATATCATTTGATTTTATTTCAATAATTTTCTTGAACGTAGGTTTTTTTTTCAGTGTTGAATGAAACCAGAGAAAACCCACGGGGTTGGACAGGTGACCTCACTACTTGTCACGTACATACAGGGAATCAAAACCATTCCACATGACTCAATGACAGAGATTATGATCCAAAGTGCAAACGTTAGTCCATTCAACCACACAACCAGTGATGGGATTTCGCCTGTATATCCCGGACATGTCCGACACTATTTTAAAACGTCCTAAATTGTCCGACTAGGAATATGCCCAATCGGACATATGGTGAATAATAATCACCCCCTCCCCCACCCCATGGATTAATACCACACAACCAGTGATGGGATTTCGCCCGTATATTCCGGACATGTCCGACGCTATTTTAAAACGTCCTAAATTGTCCAACTAGGAATATGCCCAATCGAACATATGGTGAATAATATTCAAAATCCCCCCCCACCCCACCGATATAATAAGGAATGTAACTATACAAGTAAGTAATGAATGATCTAAGCACTATTTGGATTATACAATATCTACGAAATAATTATGACAAAACATAAAATATAGAAATATATATAAAAAAAAAAATCACAATTAAATGATACAAAGTAATGAAATATACTCAATACCCTTGTCACAACATAGGTCATTTATTGCCAATAAACACAACAAAATTAATATCAATTACTTGAGCATTTTATAAATATATGTTTTCATTGCTTTCAAATCAACAGGTATATGGATTCTGTTACAGGTGATCAAATCAACAGGTATAATGGATTCTATTACAGGTCAACAGGTGATCAAATGTTTAACTAAAACTTTCAATACAAAATATTTGTCAATCAGTTCATTTTTGACGTTTTTCAATCTGATTAGAATACAGATCTATATTTTGTTTCGTTTTTTTTTATACTTTCGATGGCCTCTAATACATGAAGATCTGACCAATATTAGTGGAAGGTCGCATTAGACCTCATACAAGTGGCTTTTGACCCTATGACATCAAGACATTGATTAATCAATCAGCGTTAATGTTTCTAGTGGTTTACCATGCACCGTAACAGATGCTAATCCCCGACTTCAACAAGAATGCAGAGTGGGAGAAAACCCATGAGGTTGGACAGGCGACCCTAATCCTTGTCACGTACATCTAGGGAATGTGAAGTTCTAAGACCCTTTGTTGATATAGTCAGTGTTAACCTTTTTAATTACCTACCAGGACTGATGGTATTATTATCTAGAACAGAAATAGACAGAAGAATCTGATAACTATGGTTACCAGTAGCCAAAAAACAATACCAGGTAAGTACAAATAAATTACAAAAATGATTTCTGATACATATATATATTTCTATGACCTTACGAACCGGACAACAATATGAATGGTATAGCCAAGTTTTGTCAAATGTTATTTTCTGTTATCAAACATGAATACAAATGATTACAAGGTGATATATATATTTATATATACATGATATTTTTTTTTGCTATTAATGATTGCTACACAATATTTTTTTTGCTATCAATGATTGCTACACAATATTTTTTTTTGCTATTAATGATTGCTACACAATATTTTTTTTGCTATCAATGATTGCTACACAATATTTTTTTTTGCTATTAATGATTGCTACACAATATTTTTTTTGCTATCAATGATTGCTACACAATATTTTTTTTTGCTATTAATGATTGCTACACAATATTTTTGCTATAAAAAATGAATTATGTAAGAGCTAAATCTTGCTACTGAAGTTCTTTTTCTGGTTTCAAATGTTGTATAAATTATCATTTAAACGTTTATTCCCATGAAATTGCATGACAAGTCCATACTCAACTTTCTGGACCATCAGATGGCTTAGGTATAGAATGGATTAGAACACCCTGTCCAAACACTCATAACTTCGTTCAGAATAAAGTAATTTGACTGAAATCTTCAATATATTAATTTTTCATTATCTATTTTTGAACTATTATAGCAGGAACATCCAGCTCTTTATCGAAATCTTATATAATGTATCTTTAAATTATTATAGCAAGAACGTCCAGTTCTTTATCTAAATCTTACATAATGTATCTTTAATGGCGGCTAAATGATAAGAATGTACACGATAAGATATTTTTGCTATAAATGATCGCTACGTGATATGAATGTACATGGTATATTTGTTATAAATTCAATAATGATTATAATATCTATACATATAAATCTCTGAAACTGTAAAAAATTTAATATGCTAAAAAATAAAATCACAATTCATTCTTATCGTTATATCTACCCATTTTTTATGCCTCATTCATACTTTATATACAGACGACCTCGACACCTGGTAGTAATTGTATGCTTTATATACAGGTGACCTCGACACCTGGTAGTACCTGTACCTTTTATATACAGACGACCATGACAGCTTGTAGCACCTATACCTTTATATACAGGTGACCTCGACAGCTAGTACCTGTATGCTTTATATACAGATGACCTTAACACCTCGTAGTACCTGTATGCTTTATATACAGATGACCTTGACACCTAGTAGTACCTGTACCCTTATATGCAGATGACCTTGACACCCCTTAGTACCTGTACCTTTACCCTTCACATACACGTACGTCGTACATACACATACTATACAGACGCTTTCGACACTTCATATAATATAGTACCTGTAGCATTCCCTTACCAACTAGCCTGATACATTGTACATTTGTAACCATCACATAGAGATGAGGGTGACCTGTAGCCTTCCCTTACAAGCAAGCCTGATACATCAAAGTATCTGTAGACTTTACATACAGGTACATCGAAGTAACTGTAGACTTTACATACAGATGAACCCGACATGTAGCCTACACATACCAGTGGGCCTGACACACCGTATACATGTACGCCTAGTCGTACAGACGAGCCTGACACATCGACGTATCTGTAGCCATCAAATACCCAACACACCATATTCTATGTATAAAAACATTTAGGAGTCTGAAGAGGATCTTCGGACAGCTACTCATAAAAGTCTTTCAGGCCTTCTGTATCATGAGGCCTCTTACAATTTGTTGAAGGCTTTTAGATGTCATAAAAGCTTTCTATTCCCGGCTATAAACAGCTGTAGTTTCAAACACCGATCCTATCCCTGTTGGCCACCCTATAAACTGATCATCTCAATCACCGTAGCGTTTCACATCTCAAGTAGACGTTTTTATTAAAATCAACTTGAATTATGTTCGCAAAGTAGCGTTTATTCTCAACAGAGTTCTCCCCCTTTGTTTCAGGTTCCGTCATAACCTTTTAATTTCATCTCTGTTCAAACATGTTCATGGCTTCGTACATGTGAAGATTGTTTTTCGTCTTTTATAACTTCAACATCTTTACGTCACTTGGAAGACTTGACAAAGGACGAAGATAAAAAAGTGGAAGACCAAATTATTGTGCCGAATTTATCGATTGCAAAATTCTCGATCATACGGACATCACCTACATTTATCAATTGTTATTTTGATATTATTTTTTTATAATATTTCAAAAACAACCATTTATACATATATTCCATTTCTGTCTTGCTCGTATTCCACAGTTGGTTAATGTGACACAAACACCATCTAAAGAAATCTATCTTCGAAACCTCTCATCTCACAGTTTTGTTTATTTAAAGTCTTGATTATTTTAAATTTTGATATTTTGTTGAAGTTGGATGTTTTCTGATTAAAAATGATCCACAACACTTTGGTTTGCTACAAGAATGGGTTTTAAGTAAGGGATATATGACGTCAACATTAATTTAGGATATAACAAATATGAACAACAAACTGAGGTGACGTTATCGTAGACATTTGAATTTCAACGCCAGATTAAAAAACTAAATCCGCCAATCAATGCGCAATTGTCTAAAGAACAAGGATGCCAAGTATCATGTCGATCATACTGGAATTGGTGGAGCCTTAGGCTTTTATTTGAAGTGCATCGTCCCAAGAAAAACCAGAAGATTATCAAGTGTATGCTACGTGTTCAAAATTCACAATTCTATCTTCAAGATTTTAATCTCTGTCTAAATATCGTCATAGTTTCACCATGTCTATCACACAACATTTATTACTCTGAAAATATAGTTTCCCACTTTAAACTCTCCATGAAAAACGCCTGTATTTTATTAACATTTTTTATTTGAATATATGGTTTCCAACGTTAAACACTCGTATAATGGAAGTTGTTGTTATTAACATAAATTCATTCATAAATCTCTTGTCATATGTTTACACTGATGATATGTTCGTAAATCATTAATCACGTGAAAATCATCTGCGACAAAGTTTTTAATTCGCTGAATGATTAAAATCCTGATCCATGGTTTATTACTCCTAAATATTGTCGTCTCCAGATTTTGGAAGTTGATTAAAAAATTAAGTCGATTTAATTTGTTCATAAATAATAAATTCTCCGTTCACTCGTCATATATTAACACTGGTTTATTTCTCCTTTGCATCGTCTCCAGATTTTGGAAGTTGATAAAAAAAATTACGCCGATTTAATTTTTCATAAATAATAAATTTTCCGATCACTCGTCATATATCAACGCCGTATAAATCTGTTCACATGAAATTATGCACCCATTCCTGTGGCACCCACTGTGGTTCCACCTCGATACGATTTATTTCCATCAATAATTCATCATAAGCCAGATCCATGTCTGTGTTGACTAAAACATAGTCGAAGTAATGGCCGTAAACTTCTTCCATTTCTCGGGCGTCGTCAATTATCTGTTTTAACTCATCATCCTATAAAACATACAAAATACAAATATTTAACTTTTATAAAGCTGCATTATGGGAGATTATTAACACAAAAACATAATATGGAACACAATTACTATTTTAATTAAAGCACCGTTTTGTTGATCACCTTTGCTTGAAAACATTGACAGAACCCGCAACGAAACGTCGCTTTAATTAAAACAGTAATTGTGTTCCATATTATGGTTTTGTGTTTATTACTTATGTTAATTGCTTAAAATAGATAATGTAAATAGAATTTTTAAAATTTCAGTCAAATTGCTCCACTCTGAACTGAGATATTAGCTTTTCAATTTTAGGCTAGCCTCGATCATCATTACTAGTCAGTACGATAAAAAACATAGTCTCGATTATCCATTTTCGCGTAAAATCATCCATCACAGAATGTATTCAAATCCAGTAAAGATCACAGGCTAGCGATGACATCAAGAGTTGATTATGGTCTGGATAAGTTAATTAATGTCTAATTAATAGTTTAGATAACATTTCAGGCCTAAAGAAAGACCTGCAACAGGCAGATTTAGCTCTTGAATAATATATGTTTAATCAATAAATTAATTTGTTTAAGTTTTAATTGTGGTGAGATGTGTGTGAGGGCAGGGGGGTGACCAGTTAGTGACTATAATCAACTCTCAATGCCATCGGATATTAAGTAGGTTTAGAACGGTTCAGCCAAGCTTCGAACAACCAGTACGTTGGTTACAATCAATGCAAACATCATGTGTAACCTTCAAAGACCAATATCTTTATTCGCAATACAGTAATTTGAATGAAATTTTCAATATATTCATTTTGAATTATCTATATTTGAACTACTGTAGGAAGAAGGGCTAGTTTTTTTTATCTAAATAATACATAATGCATGTTTAAGTTTAATGTTTTATTGAGATGGAGAGAGAGAGGTGGGTTTAACGTCAGCTCGACACAAACAAGGTCATTTCGGGACTAACATATGGTCCAATTTTATTTCAATAATACACTTGCATGCAGGGGTCTTTAGCAGTGGGAGGAATCTGAAGGACCCGGAGAAAACCGAGAAGGTTGTACAGGTGACCCTACTCCTTGTAACATACAACCAGGGGAATCGAAACCACGTCAGTTGACTCAATGACAGACCTTATGATTCAATCTGTTCTGTTCGAGCTAACTATTCGGTCATCCAACCCCCCTCGCCCAAACCATTAGTAGAATTACTTACAGTTGTTCGAGATTTACCCAGCTTGATGTGAATTTGTCGAAGTTTTTCGAGATTTCCTGGATGGACGGAAATCACATAGGGTTTTAAATCTGAACTTCTCATTATCTTTAACGACTGAAATAAATCAACAGGTAAACATACCAATATTCATCTAATTAAAATTACATCTCAACGAAAAATGAAGTTAAGGTACAGATATTGAAATGGATTCTGTGTTCAGATTTCAGAATCTGTCATTCTGTTTCCAGTGCATATATCCATGCCAAAGATTCCTTAGGGACATTTTGCCCAGACAGCAGCAATTTCCAACTATCAGGGGATGTTTAACGTGCACCCAATGGTATATACAAGACCAACTATCAGGGGATCTTTAACGTACACCCAATGGTATACACAATACCAACTATCAGGGGATCTTTAACGTACACCCAATGGTATACACAATACCAACTATCAGGAGATCTTTAACGTGCACTCAATGGTATACACAGGACCAACTATCAAGGGATCTTTAACGTGCACCCAATAGTGTACACAGGACCAGGGGATCTTTAACATGCACCCAATGGTATACACGAGACCTCAGTTTTCTTAACAACTAGATGCTTTTCCAGTCTGAAAAATACACAGAATCAAACCATTGACCCCCTGATTAAAACCATTGACCCCCTGATTATAGTAAGTCACCATTCCATCCCTGGGTCTCATATATACAGCCTGTGACAAAGTGACATCGGGTGTTCCAAAAAGAATAAACCTGTGAAATGTTTTAAGTTTTCTCACCTCGGGTTCCAGATTAAGTATGCATATTTTGCCCTGATGAATGACACGTCGTATAGCGGCCAGTGTTGTTCCGTAATAATTCTTCTCAAATTCTCCATACTCCACGAATTTACCCTCCTGTATATCTTGTTCGAATATTGCCCGGGAAATAAAATGATATTCCTTTCCGTTTGTTTCATCAGCTTTCTTAGGTCGACTCGTATCTACAAAAATACGATACAAAAATGTAACTAACTATAACACATACTTATGTAAAGGGAGAGAGAGAGAGAAATGGGGTTTAACGTCCAATCGACACAAACTAGGTCATTTCGGGACTAACATATGGTTTAATTTTATTTCAATAATTCGCTTGCGCGTAGGGGTCTTTAGCAGTGGGAGGAAACCGGAGGACCCGGAGAAAACCCACGAGGCTGGACAGACGACTCTACTCCTTGTCACGTACAACCGGGGATTCGAAACCACGCCAGTTGACTCAAATTATGTAAAGGGACTGTCCCGATTTTAACAGAGTCTCTGAAATAAAAGTCTGTGTACGTATGAAATTTAAGCGCCCAATTATAGATGAACGGTGTATTTACCTTTTCTCAAAATTTCAGCCTAAAATATTGGATCGTTTGGACGTGAACGTCAAGACCACTTATCGGGATACACGTGTTAGGTGACCTGATAGTATATTGACATTGCTTTAGGGGTCTATACAGTGCATGACCCGCGTGCTGTATTTGATAATGAAAGGTAGATTTCATCTACACGTTATTTTTATTAAAGAAAAGTATGATGCAGCTTGGGACACCGGTCTCAATTTCCAGATGAAGACTGACAGGATTAAGTGAAAATTTATCACAAATATTGAGTTAGTTGCTCGGCCCTAAGGAAGAGCATTTTACAGGATTTTAACACAAAATTAAACAGTTTTATTCTCCAAAATATAATCCAGATTGGCCCTTTATGCAAAACAGCTATTAATTTATTTAGGTGATCTCTCTCTCAAACAATCAGGTTGAGCAGACGACCCTAATCCTTGTCACGTACAAGCCTGGTATCAAAACCATGCCACTTTATGATCTAAAGTCAACACTTTAGACCACTGAACACTCCCACCCCACCTCCAGTTTAAAATGGTTTACATACGTGGAACTATGATGGAAAATCTGTCCATATCGGAATTAATTAACCGATCTCGTAATTCTTGACGACCAACATTTGCTGGTCCAATGAGAACAATTGGTCGTTTTCTGTTGGGTTGTGGGTAATATCTCATCACTTCTTCATACGTTAAATATTCCTCCGTATCTGAAATAAAAACAGAAAAAGAAAATTAAGAGATTTGTTAATTTGCCAGAATGTCTGGAACGTCATTTTGGGACTAACATATGGTTTATCTTTATTTCAATAATTTGCTAGTGCAGGGATCTTTAGCTGTATAAAGGAAGAGAAATGGGGTTTAAAGTCCTAATGTCCAATGGACACAAACAGAACAGTAGGACGTTAAACCCCATTTCATTTCCATTCACACCTCGATTTTTCAAAATTTCCTGCGTCCGACACATGGTTCAATTTTATTTCAATAATTCGCTTGCATGTAGGGGATCTTTAGCAGTGGGAGGAAACCGGAGGTCAAGAAGAAAACCTACAAGGGTGGACAGGCAACCCACTCCTTGTCCAGTACAACTGAGGAATCTAAACCACGCCAGTTGACTCTATGACAGACCTTATGATAGAACCCGTTCGCATAACAATTAGGCCATACGACCTGCCCACTCGATAACAGACCCTCTGATCTAAAGCCCACACACTAGACCATTCGGCCACTCCACCCAGCAGTGGGATAAAACCGGAGAACCATCAGAAACCCATGAGGTTGGGCAGATGACGCCATTAATGACAAAGACAATGAGAAAAATGAAGTTTAACATCCACTCCACACAAACTAGGTCATTTTGGGACTAACATATGATTCAATTTTATTTCAATAGTGGGATGAAACCAGAGGACCCATGAGGTTAGACAAGTGACCATTAATAACAGACCTTATGATCTAGCACATTACTCACCTTCACCACTACCGCTATATAAGGATTGTTTCTTCTTCTTCTTGCTCTTCTTTTTATCTTTTTTACCACAAGCGCACGATTTCCCTTTCTTCTTATTCTCCTTGCCATCTGGTGTTAACACGTGCATTGCAGCTTCACGTCTACAAATCAAAATACAACATAATAATATAACGATAATACAACATAATAATATAACGTAATCAATCAATCTGATTGAAACACAGATCCTATTTCATTTCGTTTTTTATAGTTCAAAATTTTGTTTTACTTGTCTTTACAACACTAGGATCTACAAGAGTTGTTATATAACCCAAGTTCTGGTTGATGTGAGGGATTAGCCAATAAAACTGTCTGTTGCATTGAGTTCCTGACGTGCTTTGCGCAGAACTGTGGCTATTCTACGAGAAAAATCAACACTGATCGGTTAATCAAATGTCTGACATCATGGGGTCAAAAGCCGCTCGTATGACCCATGACGTGACCTACCTGCCAGTTGACTCAATGACAGACCTGATGATACAGCACGCACATGCTAACCATTCGGTCACCCAACCCCCGTATCCGATAAAGAAAGGGTAGTTGTTGGTCAATGAATAACTTACTGTTCTTGAAATGTTTTACTGGGTATTAAACCAGCCAATGATTGTTGTTCTTGTTCTCCTTCACGATACGCCTGCCACCAATGTGGATCTTCCTGGTTAATTACGTGTAAAATATCACCTTTCATAAACGATATACCCAACTCAGGACATGGTATATACATATCATCTTCAGGATCATAATTAAACAACGCTCGTAGATGTACAGTCTGAAAATTAATAACCATAAACAAATAAAATTATACCATATATCCAAATACAATTATACTCATGTAACCAAATACAATTATACATGTACCATACAAACATGCACCATATAACCAAATAAAATTATACCATATAACAAAATAAAATTGTACCATACAGCATACGCCAAGCAGTGTTCTACAAGGAAATTTCGCCAGGACAGTGGCGCTACAGACTACTCTCATTCAGAATTCCAACTGTCAAGGTTCTTTTATGTGCATGCCAACGCATACACAAGACCTGTTTTTCTACCCATCCAACCGACTAGACACTGTTCCTGGCCAGGCCCTCAATACTCCACCAGTGACAAGTTGGCAACCATGCTAGATAATCCAGGGGATCTTTCTCGTCCAACACCAGCCGCTCGACCCTCGGATCTCCTGGTTAGCCAGCACCTTACTCACTGAGCCACCAGGGGATCTTTCTCGAACAACACCAGCCGCTTGACCCACAGATCTCCTGGTTAGCCAGCACCTTACTCACTGAGCCACCATGGCTTCCTAACAAATGATAATATTGTTAAAATACTTACTGGTGTTCGTTGGGGGGGAGAAGGGGGGATAACTTCTTGCGTAACTGGTATAACCATGAATGATATAGTACCACTCATATTAGCTAATATCTCGGAGACATCGTCAACGTTTTTACCTCTCATATCAATACCATTTACTTCAACTATTTCATCACCTTCATGTAATAACCCTACAAAACAAAAACAAAAAACAAATTCACTTTTTAATTTTATTTAATCAGTATATACTACTACGCATGCTTTTCTTTAATCCAATAACATAAACAGAGAGAGAAATGGGGTATAACTTTCACGCAACATAAAACTAGGAGATTTAGGGACTAACATATGGTTCAATTTTATTTCAATAATTCACTTGTGCGTAGGGTGTCATTAACAGTGGAAGGAAATCGGAGGACCCGGAGAAAACCCACGAGGCTCTACTTCTTGTCACATACATTTGGCCATCCACCCCCCACGGGAAATAAAAAAAGATCACCTAAAAAAAACTTTAATAAATATAAGAAAAACAACAAAATCATGAAAACACAACGTATATTTATGAAATGGAATCGTTTAAAAGAATGTGTATTTATAATGACATGAATGATTTTACTGTAAACATGAGTTATAACTGACTTGTAAACATGATTCAATTTGATTTAGTTTAAAACAATCACATAAAAACTAATGTTTAAACAGTTTCTTTCTAATTGGTCTTCTCTCTGTTTGACAGTAAATACACAGATTCAAACAATCTTGTTAGCTAAACGAAACTGTGTAAATATACATATTCTGCCTGGTATACGACACCCAATCACTTTTTATAGCTAACCAACACACGACACAATTATACATTGTATATGGAATACAAGAAATAAATAAAATGGGGTTGAACGTCCTACTGCTCCAAACTTATATGGAAAACAAGTTACTTGAAAGATTTATTTCAGTGACGTTTCAACGAGTGTTCTCTTGAAACATTGTCAGAAATAAATCTTTCAAGTAACTTGTATTCTATATAATTGTGTCTTGTTTGTTACTCTCATTAATAAAATGCCACTTAAACGACCAAGTGATATCAGGTGTTATAGGGAGGGTAAGTGACAGCAAGTGTTCTAGAGAGGGTAAGTGGTATCAGGTGTTATAGAGAGTATAAGTGATATCAGGTGTTCTAGAGAGAGCAAGTGATATCAGATGTTCTAGAGAGAGTAAGTGGTATCAGGTGTTATAGAGAGAGTAAGTGATATCAGGTGTTCTAGAGAAAGTAAGAGGTATCAGGTGTTTTAGAGAGAGAATAAGTTATATCAGGTGTTCTAGAGAGTAAGTGATATCAGGTGTTCTAGAAAGAATCAGTGGTATCAGGTGTTCTAGAGAGAGTAAATGGTATTAGGTGTTCTAGAGGTAGTAAGTGGTATCAGGTGTTCTAGAAAGAATAAGTGGTATCAGGTGTTCTAGGGAGAGCAAGTGGTATCGGCTGTTCTAGAGAGAGTAAGTGGTATCTCTTCATGTATCTATTTCTACATCATCTTACTATCCAGTTGTCACATGTGACTTACGACTAATTGGTTTATTCAACCTTTCTAGAAATATTTGGAAGGTAGTCCGATACATTTTTACCATAAGAAGGAGTCGTTCAATAATTGGTGTCAAGGTGTTACTACATAGAAATCTGTCTTTGTAGAGTTTTCACACCATATTGTGAAGACATATTTAGACTTGTTTTCAGTCATCAAGTAAGAGACAAGACATTGAAAGTGAAGGTCAATATTAGTTCTAAATGTTTGTATATGCTTTAAGCTAACGGGCCTTAAGATTATCTCCTTTAACAGCTTCAACTATTCTCTCGAAAAATTTCACCACAAATAATCCCACATTTTAACTATAACTACGCACAAATTCCTGACCTAAATTAAAATTGTGAACCTAAGTTCCGAATATTTAGAAACTATTGATATTTACATAGCATCTATTTGAGGTGTTTTCCAATAAATTTCTACATTCGAAGTGTTGACCAATTAAACATTAATTTGGTGACTTAAAATTTACACAACAAAATACTTGATTACTGTTCGTAACTTTTTTTTATGAAGTAGTATGCACAGAGAATTTAAACAAAGTATTGCCAAGCAACAAGTATACACACAAAAGAATCAGGTATATGTGAGTGCAGGGGGACCACACCACACACAAACAATTACACAAAATAACCCACAGACACGACACAAAATACAGACAGTGCAAACAACTACATGTAATACAAATATCAGATGAAGTGATTTTTAGAATGTTTACATCTTTTCAGAACCAGGAAAAGAAGGCAATGTGCAACTCCCGAATTTCTATATAGAATTCCTCTGTAGAACCAAGAGAAGAACGCATGTGCAACTCGGGATTTTATATAGAGTTCCTCTGTAGAACTAGGTGAATAAACATAGCCAGAATCAGATAGAAAAAATCTAAAAAAAAACTTGATGTATAGGAAGAATAAACTAGTTTTCCAAGTTGGATCACAATCACAATAATCAATTATGTGACTGAATTTTATAAACAATCGCAGTACATTTCAAAATCTCTCATCCGTAGAACAGATACACACACACACACACACAATGGCTTCAAATGTTATATAAATTTCTATTTAAACATTTATTCCCATGACACGCCCATAATCAACTCTTCGTCATTTAAAAGTTTAACCATAAAATAAATAAAAAAACAATCTACGCTACATTTTGTAAAAACCTTAAACATTCATAAATCACACAGAATAAAGTAATTTTACTCAAATTTTCAATATATTCATTTCTCACGATCTATTTTTAAACTATTAAAACAAGAATGGCCAGATCTTTATCTTATATAATGTATGTTTAAATCCAGAGACGGTTTACAAGGAATTTTGCCAAGGCAGTGGTAGTATATCCTACTCTTACTTCGAATTCCAACTGTGAAGGGTTCTTTTCGTGCCAACGTCCACATGGGACCTCAGTTTTTATTCCCCACTCAAACAGCTAGATGATGTACTTGTCAAGTCCCCTGCTGATATTATTAATACATGTTCAGCACTAAGTTGAAAATGTCAGGTACTACATTTATATCATTAGTGCCTGACATTTTGTCAGGTACATCTAAAAGTGTTATTTCCAGGCCTGAGGAAGCTCTATTTGAAGTATTATAAATAGGGTTTAAGGTCCTACTGTTAAGTATTATAGATATTTACATATTTCAGTAGATATTGATATGAACATATAGTTACTAAACCTTTGTTTGTGTTAAGGATGTACGCTTGAAAACTAAAATCAATTATTCCGATTACTTCAAGTAGAATGAGATAAGGTTAAAAAGATATTATCATAAATGAAATGAATTTTACGGCCCTACTGTTCTGCTCCAACTTATAAAATGAAATGAAATTGGGTTAATGTTCTATTTCTCTGGTCTGACATGGTTAATGAAAACGGGCAATGTATTGAATTCCAACTGTGCAAGTCAATGTGTACATGTACATAGGACCTCGACCTCAGTTTTGTTTTTTGTACCATCCAAAAGACAATACATTGTCCCTTGTCAAATCCTCTTTCCTTGACCACCGAAAAGGGCGACCCTACTCCTTGTCACGTACAACAAGGGAATCGAAACCACGTCAGTTGACTCAATGACAGACTTTATGATACAGCACGCACGTGCTAACCATTCGGCCATCCAACCCCCCATGAGGGATAGGGTTAATTGAGTGTGGTAGATAAATTATATAAGATTCAAGTTGTGTGTTTTAACTGTAGGTGTAACATAAACACAGTTTAAACACAGGATAGTTTTATTTACCTATCTACCTCTACAACATCAAAGGTGAAGAAGCAACCAGGTAACCCTATGATTTCAGGTTAAATTGACCTTCGATCAGGGAGAAATCAAAATGGGATTTAGTTTTTCCTCGACACAAACTAGGTCATTTCGAGAGTAACATGTTACAATTTTATTTCAATAATTCAATAGGGGTCTTTAGCTGCTGGAGGAATCAGCGGGGACCCGGTGAAAACCTACAAGATTGGACAATGGACAGGTGACCCTTCTTTGTGTTACATACAAGCGGGGAATTGAAACCAAGCCAGTTGAATCAATGACAGAACTTATGCGTTAAACCATTCATTCAACTCCCACGATCATATAATCAGGTAACCTATCATCTCAGGTTGAATTGACGAACACGACTGACATATATGTGACTTTATTCCATCTAAAGACTCTGATATCCTTTGGCATTTTTTTCGAATATAAAAAAGCCAGCACCACCTGTAAGTGTGAGGATCAAACATATTGAGAGGGAGACAAACCATATGGTTCAATTTTATTTCAATAATTTGCTTGCACATATAAGTCTTTAGCAGTGGGAGGAAACCCGAGTACCCGGAGAACGAGGTTGGACAGACGATTATTTTAGACAGGATTAAACTGTGACATTAGATATTGCACGAATAATGCACAGGATTGATGGCTTTAAGCGATCAAATGAAATTGAGGGGAATTTTGCCCAGACAGTGGCACTTCGGTCTACTCTTATATCGAATTCCAACTGTCAAGGGATCTTTTACGTGCACGCAAATTTGTACACAGGACCTCGGTTTTTCGTCAGATCCAAACGACTAGACAGCTGTCCTTGTCAGGCAATCCGTCCTGCATCACTGACATGGGCGAACTACGCCTGAAAATCTGGATGAACTTTCTCAGCCAATGCAGGGATCGAACACCCGACAACCAGTCAAGTGAGCCAAGGTCTTACCCACTTAGCCACCGTAGCCCCTCTTTAAGTGATCAATTTAAGTACATTTTACAATGAATTAAGCCCCAAAAATGAGACATTGTAGTAAAATGCACGATCGGGATCAACGACCTTATATGGAACTATTTACACGTACTACATAAATCAACAACAGGTCGTTACGAGATTTAATTGGTTAAAATTCTAGACATCAAAAAACCACAAGGTATGTTTGACTTCCGATTTGTTTAAAATATGAGTAAAAATATGTTGCCACGATTGATTTGATTTTCTCGAGCGTTTAAAATATGTTTGAGAGTAGCCACGGAAACCTGATGTAACACGTAATCCGTCTGATTAAAGGATAAACACAGCTTAACGAGGATTTCGCTTCAAAGACGCAAAACTTTATGTAAACCCGTTTTTCTATCTTCGTCTGGGTAACTTGTTTATTTAGAGAAGAGCTAAAGCAATCTGTTGACTTGATTGTGTGAACTCGTAAAAAACTTTGTTTCATTCTTTTAAAACGGATTTATCTGGAAGATTCTATAAGGTACAATGGTTTTATATAGCGTACTATAAGCGTGGTGGTAAAAAATATTAAATTCATTTCACTCTTTTAAATTAAAGGACTTGATATGTGATTTTTCTACACAAGGAATCCTTTCTAAACTTTGTTTTATTCTTTTAAAACAGATTTATTTGGAAGATTTGGCTCAATAACGCGTGCATTGTTTACATAAGACGTTACAGATTCGAGCAGAATGGCGTCTTTTACTCATTTTAATACCCATTTACACTAAAATAGGAAATAATTTTTACCTACAAACATCTTTATTTATTTTTCTAATACATAAAAGAAATGTTTTAGAATTTAATTTGTCGGGGGAAAAAAGTTAATATTTGTGACTCATTAAGTCGCATCGATGTCATCCTTATCAGTGATTGTCCCGGCCTAGCGAATATTCACTGTGGATCAGTGTGGTACAGTACATGTGGGATGGTTTTATATACTATCGTGTAGTGGCAAAACACAAATATCAATTTACACCTATTCAAAATTTCATTACGCAAAATTTACTCACAAAATTAAATTTTAATATTTGTTGATAAAATATTTCTAGAAAAAGTTAAATTGCAAATAAATCGAAAAAATATGGAAGTGAGAGAAATCTGCCGATGGCTCTGTGTACTGAAATCTCAAGTAACCTTTAATCTTTCTTCCATCTCAAGCAATAATAGATTCAACTTTTTGGTAAGGATAGTGTAAAAATATGTAGCGATATAAAACAGAGAGAGAAATGGGCTTTGAAGTCCACTCGACACAACTTAGGTCATTTCGGGACTAACATATCGTTCAATTTTATTTCAAATATTCTTGCGCGTAGGTGTCCATAGCAGTGGGTGGACAACACACTATAAAGGACAAATTATAACATATTAACCCTTTCAATGCTAGACGTAAATTTTGAGGAAAAAAAGGGGGGTTGGAACTGAAAGCCAAACAGTACTTATGGAAGCTTTTATGAAAAATCTTTTTGTCTGTTGGGATGGGCATGAGGTTGGGCTAAGAGGAAAAAATAGAATTTTGGAAATTTGCATAATAATGTAGTCACGTGACGTCATGGTGGCCATTTTGGTTTTCTCATTTCTCACTAAAGCTAACACGAAAACAAATTTTTCTCCATGAAATACTTATGAGATATTGTCTTTTTCACTGGATTTTGATAAAGATACATGTATATAAAATGAACAAAAATATCAATAGCAGCCATGAACAATGCCACCACGAACACGCGCATCACGTCTCCCGCTACCATGACCACGTGCGGATTGCAATACCTTGTTTTCACTTTCACTTTCATCCCCAAGTCCCATATCATTATCAATATAGTCAGTCAATAGATCTACACGTTCGGGACTCAGGAATTGCCTACGTCTTTTACAATCCAGCAGGCCAGCATTATTATCAACATCAGAATTATTGTCAGAATCTACTGCAGACACAGGGCTATCGTGTTCACATTGGGCTTGTTCATCATGCACGGGAGACATAGTCATAGGCGGAACATCCTGCAACAAATCACACACGACTTCATAATACCAATCACTGTCCTGACTACTATCATTATTAAGTAACTGGAAACGAATTATGTGTATCACCCACCTCGAAATTGTCCACGTGTTGGTCAGCAAGACGTCATTCATGACTTCGTCGAGAGTGCATCATATACGTTGTCACTATGCACTCCGCCATTTTATGGTTTGCCACTTTGAAACGCGTGGAAATATGTTCTAGTGTATAGAAAATACAATAGATGGATGGCACTTGCAGTTACGGTACTAATTTTAGCGAGGGCTTTACTGAGTACACGGTAATACCGGGTACGCGTATTTTAACGACATTTTATAATACCCGGTACTACCGGGTAGACGCAATGAAAGCGTTAAGGTGAACACACTTTATTGAACACTTGATACCACTTGCCAACTACAAACAACATGGTAGGTGACCAAAACTCAACCCTGTGGTAGTATAATTCTGTAGCTTCTGAAATCCAAGTCCAAACCAACCTTCCATATCTTAAAAATAAAATTAAAATCTTACCACTTTTTTCTGCCGCTCCACCTTTCACAATACGACCAATAATAACAGAATCACCTTCGTTTTTAACAGTAGCTCCCTGAAACATATCAAATCAACCATTTATTATCAAATGTTTAAATTTACTATTTCAATAGATTGTTAAGTTCTTGCAGACTACACGATTGTGAAAGTTGCATCTCGAAAAAGAATATCAGCTCCATAAATGGTTCACCATTCTGCATCCAGTACAGACAACATACATGTATACCCAATGTACCTGTACAATAGAATATATTCAGCTTATTCCAGCTCCACCTACTGTATGAGTTTCACTGAAATCATATTAATCTGACTGAGTCCAAGCTAGGCGGTTACATGTACATGTATCTACTTTTGATATCTGATTTTGTTTTCATCATTAAATAATCAATTTGGGTAGCATGGATTGATTGGGTCATTATGTACATGTATTATAGCAGGTCTGAGAATAAATAGATGGTTATGAAAAATGGGCGGACTCTGACTCATAAAATTTTGTCAATAAAATCCAAACACTGGGGGAAGATAGGCTAATACATAGGCTAATATATGAGAGAGAGAGAAAGAGAGAGAGAGAGAGAGAGAGTTAGTTTAATGTCCACTCAACACAAACCAGGTCATTTTGGGACTAACATATGATTCAATTTTACTTCAATAATTCGCTTGCGCGTAAGAGTCTTTAGCAGTGGAGGAAAGCGGACAGCCGGAGGAAACCCACGAGGTTAGACTGGCGACCCTACTCCTTGGGGCTTTGAACCATTTGACAACCCAACCCACTTGTAGTTAAATATTAATCTCCATCCTACATGGATGACATTAGTTGGACAGTTCGTCGGATTATATTGGAATAGATTTGACAGTTCGTGGATGTCGTTTAAAAGGCAGGATGGTATGAGAATAGATTTTGTGGGTGCTGTAGGAAATGTCAGGTTGTATGAGAATAGATTTTGTGACATTGATAAATGACTGACATATAGCTATGACAAATCGTTTTATACACAACGACAAAAAGTGTAGCTACAGAGATTTGGGTCATTAAAATGAAATGAAATAAGGCTTAAAGCATACTGTTCTACTCCCACTGGGCTAATGAAGATGGGCATACGCCATACAATGTGCTATGAGAGAAATTTTGCCAGGCAGCGGCACTATGGCCTACTCTTATATCAAATTCCAACTGCCAGAGGATCTTTTAGATCTGCCAGAGGATCTTTTACGTGAAGGTCAATAATACAAGGGACCTTGGTTTTTCATCCCATCTGAATGACTAGACAGCTTTCCTTGTCAGGCCCTGCATCATTGACAAGGGGAAACCATGTCGGGAAATCCTGATGAACTTTCTCGGCCAATGCAGGGACCGAACTCGCGACCCCCAGACTAGCGAGCCAGCATCTTACTCACTTAGACAAGATGGCTCCGGGGTCTCAAAGGACGTCAGTGATAATGCCAGTCAAGGAAATGACGAGGTTCACTAATCTATGGTATTATATACAACTACAAGACAGGGGGACATGGAATGCTCACTCTTTATTGAACATCTGATATCACTTCCTATTTAGCTATCAGTAGTGATCAATAAGGTGCATGAGGCATGATATACTCAATATTCTTTTTAGAACACATGATGCCACTTGTCAAATATTTCCCATTGTTTTTATTATTGTATTCAGTTAGGTATTATATTGTTGGTGAGAGAAGTCACATATTATATTGTAGGTGAGAGAAGTCACATATTATATTGTGTATCATATTGTAGGTAAGAGAAGTCACATAGGTAAGAGAAGTCACATATTATATTGTAGGTGAGAGAAGTCACATATTATATTGTAGGTGAAAGAAGTCACATATTATATTGTAGGTAAGAGAAGTCACATAGGTAAGAGAAGTCACATATTATATTGTAGGTGAGAGAAGTCACATATTATATTGTAGGTGAAAGAAGTCACATATTATATTGTAGGTAAGAGAAGTCACATAGGTAAGAGAAGTCACATATTATATTGTAGGTGAGAGAAGTTACATATTATATTGTTGGTGAGAGAAGTCACATATTATATTGTAGGTGAGAGAAGTCACATATTATATTGTTGGTGAGAGAAGTCACATATCATATTGTAGGTGAGAGAAGTCACATATCATATTGTAGGTGAGAGAAGTTACATATTATATTGTTGGTGAGAGAAGTCACATATCATATTGTAGGTGAGAGAAGTTACATATTATATTGTTGGTGAGAGAAGTCACATATTATATTGTTGGTGAGAGAAGTCACATATCATATTTTAGGTGAGAGAAGTTACATATTATATTGTTGGTGAGAGAAGTCACATATTATATTGTAGGTGAGAGAAGTCACATATTATATTGTTGGTGAGAGAAGTCACATATTATATTGTTGGTGAGAGAGAGAAGTCACATATTATATTGTTGGTGAGAGAAGTCACATGTTATATTGTTGGTGAGAGAAGTCACATATTATATTGTGTATCATATTGTTGGTGAGAGAAGTCACATATTATATTGTTGGTGAGAGAAGTCACATGTTATATTGTTGGTGAGAGAAGTCACATATTATATTGTGTATCATATTGTTGGTGAGAGAAGTCACATATTATATTGTTGGTTAGAGAAGTCACATATTATATTGTGTATTATATTTTAGGTAAGAGAGGGCACCTGTTTAGTTATATTTATATATAGGAGAGAAGACAGGTGTTATATATTATCTGATATCAGTAGTTAACTATGTAAAGAATGTTTCTACATTTAATTAATTAACCTCCTTATCTATCACACTCAACATTTTTAAACCCAGTTAACTCGTCATCATCTATTTCACTAGTTAGACATTTTAAACAGGTTATCAGCCATTTTATCATCACTTGTTACAATACAAAAAAAACAAAAGACTTGACAGTTCTGTTTACGTCCAAATATAGTTTGCTTAAAGTGACATTATGGGAGATTAGATAAAGAGCTGACAGTTCTCGCTATAATAGTTAAAACATAGATAATGAAAATGGAATATGTTGAAAATTTCAGTTAAATTAATTCACTCTGAGCTGCATTGGGGATACAATTACAGTGTAGCCTCCACTGTCATTGCTACCGTTGTTACGATAATAAACAAAGTCTTGATTATCCATTTTTTACAGTAAATCATCAACCGAAAAACATATTTGACAGTTGATTAAGGTCTTGGTACATGTAAGTTAATTAATGTCTAATAAATAATTTAGATAACATTTAAGGCCTAAAGAAAGACCTGCATGCAGTAGGAAGATTTAGTTCTTGCATAATGTATGTTTAAGGTATTTTAAGGTACAATTCGTCTTTTATTCAGCACAATGATCAATAGGTCAGGTAGTGCCCGATATTTTGTCAGGTACATGTACACCCAATATCAATATCTCCATGTCTGCAAGTTTATAACAGGTTGAATTTAAACATCAGAATTCTCACGCCATAGTTTCACCAAGACAGACATTAACCCGACCCTAACCCTGTCTCCATGATGAATCATACAAGATAATACCGGTACATTATAATGAATTAAAGTCCATACAAAACTTTAACCATTGTCTAAATATTGGAACAAATACAACGATAAGGGCAGACTAAATGTGTAACTATGACAACAATGTCGTCAGCCAGACACTGATTTTAACCATTTGGACAAATTGTAATTTATTTTAACAACACCATTTATGTTAAACAGAGTGCGACAGTTCGTCTATATTTGGTAAATGCACACATCACTTGACAGAATGGCGCAGTGATGTGGTTAACAAGTGCAAACGGTTCACTCACCATCATAACAGTGCACTATTTAAACAAACAAAAAACAAATTCAGTTTAAATACTTTCAACTCTAATTAAATTTAAACAAGTTTTAAAGAGGCGTTGAAGTTATATCTTTTCTAGGAATGTGCATAGATCTAATCATTCTGTCCTTTCTTTATGAGGTCTTGTCAGGTTTTTCGAGTGTGGTTTCCCCTTGTCAGTTGTTAAGGATGGAGGGCTAATGAAGATGGGCATGCAGTTGTCCCATCACACGACTGGCCACTGTTAGTTGCCAGGCTGGTCATCCTCCACCACTGACATGGTGGGCCGGAGATATACTAAACAATGCCCAACGTCTTTGATCTTTATTGAATTCTAAAAACAAAGCCAAACGTCCTTGACACAGGTAATTTTTAAGACTGGTTTCCAAATTGTCAAGATATAATATTGAACACAACGTTCTCTTGTATTGCATACAACTTAGATATCTACATTGTATGACATACCGCAGAGAGTCAGAGTTTTATTGAGACTGGAAAACTTTAATTGACATGTCAGTTTGTTGAAATTTATTCCACAGGCCACATTTAAACCCTTTGCAGGCCGGATCTGGCCCACGGACCACATGTTTTTGAGAGAGAGAGAGAGAGATGTGGTTTAACATCCACTCTACACAAACTAGGTCATTTTGGGACTAATACATGCTTCAATTTTATCTTATAAATTCGCTTATGCGTAGGGGTTTTTAGCAGTAGGAGGAAACCGGAGGACCCAGAGAAAACCCTTGAGGCTGGACAGGCGGCCCTACTTCTTGTCTCACATGTTTGAACGCCTGCCTTAGACTATCAACACATCAAATGGACCCACGCTACAGTAACAACCCAACTTATCAAATAAAGACACTGGTAAAAGAACCATAAAACATCAACTTGACCTGTCAACAATGTAGAGGTAATGTCAATATACATACCTGTACATACCTGTACAGGTAGAAACAAAGGAAAAGACATAATTAATTTTGTGTGAAATATGATAACAAACAAAGTAAATGGACTTTTGACAATTTCCTTGTCGGAGGACTGAATTACCAGGAAAGGCAATAAATGCATCACTGGAATTTTGTTAAAAATATGGACGACCGCAAAATGTCATTAGGACTACATGTACATGTAGCTACGTGTAACAGATCAAAAGGTAATTTAATTGTTGTGTACAGCGTGTAGTGGATGCTTATGGCTGCCCCCCAGATCCATTCACCTGAATTGATATTAATTCTTTAAATGACATCGAGAAGCACGGTTAACTATTCATAACAAAACACAACACAAGGTTAGTTTAGGTACTGCTAATTATGTTAATGGTTTCTTTCGGTTTTTGTAATTAAGTTGGTGTAAGCTAAAATATGTATAAATAGGCTGACTAGATGGATATTTATCATTAACTTGAAAACGTGACCTGTATGTGTTACGAAACGTGGTTATTAAATAATAGAGAAGTGGTTACATCCATATATACCGTGTGTTGTGTTTTGTCATGAATGAATTGGTATTTGTTTGTTGTTTATTTCTTGTAATGTATGTGTAGTTAGTGTATCTCTGGTGCACATGTTTGTATTATGATGTTTGTGTATGGAGCAGTCTTCCTGCAATTACTATTATAAATATACAGTGGAAGAGAGAATGAACTACAATGTACATGTACAAGTAGAGTTTACAATGAAATGAGGTTTAACATTGCTACTGTTCTGCTCCAACTAGTTTAATAAAGACGGGCATACGCCATACAGTGTGCAATGAGGGAAATTTTGCTTGAGCAGTGTCACTATGGCCTACTCTTATATCAAATTCTAACTGCCAAGTGATCTTTATGTGCACGCTAATGCGTACATGTCAAAATTTTATTTAAATATTTTGCTTGAGTGTGGGGCTCTTCAGCTGTGGGAGGAAACCGAAAGACCAGCAGAAAAACCCACTAGGTTGGACACGTACAAGCGGGGAATCGAAACCACGCCACTTGACTCAATTTCAGACCTTATGATCTAAAGTGCACAGGTTAAACCATTCGACCACCCAATTCTCCACCTATGTACAAATACTTACCAAAGGTTCGTTAGATTTCTCTAGACGGATTATCTTCACGCTGTCCTCGCCATATTGAAGTAACGGATAATCCAACGCATCCTCTCGTAAGACATCCTCCGTGATTGGGTCGGCCTGGAAACCTGCGATTTCATCATGGGCATGTAATAATCCCTGTAAATAAATAAACAGGTTTATTTTTAAAATGTGGTCAAATAATATTCCTGCTATATCAAGGCAATCTAAAAAATAGGTTTCCAGGAGATCTTTAATGACACACAAAGGATCACACGGCATCAAAAAATAGGACAAAATTAAAAGATGTGCTACGGCCTAAACTTTATTTTGATTTCAGGGACCACAATTTTGTCATTCCATTGGACAAAATCGAAGAGAGAGAGAGAGAGAGAGAGGGAGAGAGAGAGAGAGAGAGAGAGAGATGGGGTTTAACGTCCACTCCACACAAACTAGGTAATTTTGGGACTAACATATTGTTCAATTTTATTTCAATAATCAACTTGTACGTAGGTGTCTAGCAGTGGGAGAAAATTGGAGGACCTTGAGAAAACCCACAAGGTTGGACAGGCGACACTACTCCTTGTCAAGTACAACTAGGGAATTGATGACAAACCTTACATGTATGATACAGCGCGCATGTGCTAACCATTCAGCCATCCAACCCCCCTCGTTCCAATCGGATGGGGGATCACGTGGCTAAGTGGGTAGACGCTAGCTCGCTAGCCTGGAGGTCGGGTGTTCGATCCCTGCATTGGCCGAGAAAGTTCATCCAGATTTTCCGGCGTGGTTCTCCCTTGTCAGTGATGCAGGACGGAGGGGCTCACAAGGAAAGCTGTCTAGTCGTTCGGATAGGACGAAAAACCGAGGTCCCGTGTACACATTGGCGTGCCCGTAAAAGATCCCTTGGCAGTTGGAATTCGATATAAGAGTAGGCCGTAGTGCCGCTGTCCGGGCAAAATTTCCCCCATAGCACACTGTATGGCGTATGCCCGTCTTCATTAGCCCAGGTTAGGAGCAGAACAGTAGGACGTTAAACTCCATTTCATTTCATTTCATTTCCAATCGGATGATACGAAGAAGTAGATGGCATCTGGTTTTGACATCTTAATTCCAAGATAATTTAAACATCTCCGGTATTCTACAGGATCAATGTCTATATAATTTCCAGTTCATATATCCACGGGGAGTTTTAATAGAGATTTAACAAACCTCATCACTTCCTGACAGCTGAGGGGACCTGGTAGGGAGACAGCAATATGAAAATCAATATTCCATCAAATTCATGAAAGAATTAATCTTATTTTTAGAATATGTACATGTACAGTATACACTGTAACCTGAGTATCATTTAATCTTGTGTATCTGGCACTAATTTCTTTCACATTCATTTATTATCAAACCTTTGTTTAAAAATTAATTATCAAAATTAATCAGTCAGCTTTAAACTGGACACAAGTACAAATTAAAAGATTTTTGGTGATTTTAAACAGTTTTTACGAATTTTTAAACAAAGATTTGATATTAAACGAATGTGAAAGAAATTAGTGCTAGATATACTGTGAATCGAGAGAGACAAATTGAGTTTAATGTCCACTCTACAAAAACCAGGTCATTTTGGGGTCTAACAGTAACATGGTTCAGTTTTTGTTCAATAATTCGCTTGCACGTAGGTGTCTTGAAAGAGAGAGAAATGGGGTTTAACATCCACGACACAAACTTGGTTATTTCGGGACTAACATGGTTCAATTTTATTTCACTAATTTGCTTAGGAGTCTTTAACTGTTGGAGGAAACCGGAGGACCCGGAGAAAACCCACGAGGTTGGACAGGCGACCCTACTCCTTGTCACGTACAACAGGGGATTCGAAACCACGCCAGTTGACTCAATGACAGGCCTAATGATACAGCGCACACATGCTAACCATTCGGCCATCCAACCCCCCTAGGAGGCTTGAAGCAGTCGAAAGAAATCAGAGGATCCACAGAAAACCCACAAAGGTAGGCAGGCGACTCTACTCCTTGTCATCTATAATAGATGTCAAAAGAATATACATGTAAAGTTATCTAATAAAAGAATTATTTAGTTGGCACATATATGTAATATTACACCATTTTGAGACTCATTTTAAAATTTTCCTTTGTAGAAACCTTTGTTGTTTGGAGCTTAAGGATGAAAAGTTTTAATAAAGGTTTACTTTGGCAATCAAAACAATTTCAGAAATATAAAAATAAAGCTCCACCGGAAAAATAATCAATATACGACAACGAGCGGAAATAAAAATGGGAAAAACTTTCCAAAAACAAAACAAAACTGTGTTATAAATAGACTGTTACTATGGTGATGGGGCTGCTATCTAGTGTCCGAGACAAAGTCTTGGATTAACAGAGTTTGAGAAGGATAATCTATAATCCCTTTGACTGACCAGAGAGTGGACTGAGAGAATGTGCAACTGGTCGAGAAGGATTGAGATATTTTTATTGTGCTCACGAAATCTTGGCCACACGTGTTGACAGAGGGACGGCATATACTTTAATCAAATAAACCAAATTCTCCCCTTTTGTTCAGAGAAATAAAATGAAATGGTAGAGAGAGAGAGAAATGGGGTTTAACGTCCACTTGACGCAGACTAGGTCATTTCGGAACTAACATATGGTTTAATTTTATTTCAATAATTCACTTGCGCGTAGGGGTCTTTAGCAGTGGAAGGAAACCGGAGGACCTGGAGAAAACCCACGAGGTTGGACAGGCAACCCTACTCCTTGTCACGTACAAGCGGGGAATCGAAACCACGCCAGTTGAGTCAATGGCAGACCTTATGATACAACGAGCGCACACTAACCATTTGGCCATCCACCCCCAGGCAAAAATAAACCAGTTTAAAAAGAAAGCTCACTACAAGTTTTCGAGCAAACTTTTGTTAAAAGCTGTCTTATTTTACATTTTGAACTTCTTCCATACATACATGTCATATCAATAGTTGAAACAAACAATAACATTATCTGTTATAGTTTAGCTATGGGTTATAAAGTTGACAAACACCAGAGACTGGCTGCATATCTAGATGTTTGTTGATATAAGACAAGAGTTTGTGACTGGTTGTTCAAGATAAAAACCAGATGACCACTACAATATACATGCTGATGTTTCTAGATATGTTTGTGACTGGTTGTTCATGATAAAATAAATAAACCGATTATATAAAGTAGAGCTGTTTCTTTAACCTTCCTGTAATCACAGTAAATACAAAACTTATCTACAGTACACAAATAACTTTTCCTAAAAGATTAGGTTAATTTTGCCTGGAGAGAGAGAGAGAGAGAGAGAGAGAGAGAAATGGGGTTTAACGTCCACTCGACACAAACTAAGTCATTTCAGGACTAACCCATGGTTTAATTTTATTTCAATAATTTGCTTGCACGTCAGGGTCTTTAGCAGTGGGAGGAAACCGGAGGACCCACAGAAAACCCATGAGGTTGGTAAAAGGACACAAACTAAGTCATTTCAGCACTAACACATGGTTCAATTTTATTTCAATTATTCGCTTGCACATTAGGGGTCTTTAGCAGTGGGAAGAAACCGGAGGACCCACAGAAAACCCACAAGGTTGGAAAAAGGAAGCCAATTTTGTCTGGACAGCATCATTGTGGTCTACTGTTATTCTGAATTCCAACTGTCCAGAGTTGTTTTACGTGAATGTCAATATGTACACGGGACCTCAGTAAACATTGTTCCGTGCCAGCACCTCCGTCCTATATAACTGACAAGTGGAAACTACCCTCCGAAAATCCTGAATAATTTTCTCTGTCAACACGGAGAGAGAACCAGAGCCTCACTCATTTATTCAGTACAATGTATGGAAACTTCCCACAAATGAAGTGGTATAAGGCACTCCATTTGACTCAACTGTACCACTGTGATCTATTTTTGTCAGCGATGTCAAGGTCACTACTCTGACAGTACATGTAAATCACTGAAAATGAATAGGATTCTTTGTCTCCTTAACATAAACAATGTGTATCAATGTAAAGAGGAGGCAGAAAAGGTAACAAATGAAATGAAATGAAATGGGGTTTAACGTCCTACTGTTCTGCTCCTAACCTGGGCTAATGAAGATGGGCATACGCCATACAGTGTGCTATGAGGGAAATTTTGCCCGGACAGCGGCACTACAGCCTACTCTTATATCGAATTCCAACTGCCAAGGGATCTTTTACGTGCACGCAAATGTGTACACGGGACCTTGGTTTTTCGTCCCATCCGAACGACTAGACAGCTTTCCTTGTCAGCCCCTCCGTCATGCATCACTGACAAGGGAGAACCACGCAGGAAAATCTGGATGAACTTTCTCGGCCAATGCAGGGATCGAACACCCAACCTCCAGGCTAGGAAAAGGTAACAACAATATACAACCACATTTGAATGTGGGCCTATATACATGCATGTGAGAGAGAAAGAGATGGGATTTACATGTAAGGTCCACTGACACAAGACACAAACTTGGTCAAATGGTTTTCAATTTTATTTCAATAATTTGCTTGTGCGTAGGGGTCTTTAGGACTGGGAGGAAAACAAAGAACCTGGAGATATCCCACAAGGTTGGACAGGCGACCCTACTCCTTGTCATGTACAACTGGGAAATCAAAACCACGGGAGTTGACTCAATGACAAACCTTATGATACAGCGTGCATGCGCTAACCATTCCGCCATCCAACCCCCACCTAATTTGAATGTGGGCGCATACACAAGTAAGAATAGCAATATCTAACATTAAGTCTGACAAAATTACGACCATTTGACTCCCCACTGACGATATTCTTATTCTAAGGAAATTTTTTTTTTTTTTTATGAAATAAATTGTATTCACATCACGTTAGTAAATCGTTATATTTACCTCACGCTAGTAAATTATTGTATTCACATCACGTCAGTAAATTATTTTCTTATAAAAACAATTCTGGTACGAGACAGGCTAAAATCAATATGAATTAACTAATTTGTCATACCGGTTCACTAAAACTAACGAGAAGTGACACATCCTTGGGTTTTTGTTTTATCAAATCAACATCAGAATTCCCCAGGTTAAACAAAACTGATCAACTATAAACAATATGAAAATACCACAGAAACCAACCTATGTTAAGTTACAATGTACATG